TGTGCTGCACCGATGTTATGGAAAGTGCAGCAGCAGAACTTCCCTTTCCTGCTCTAAAGCTGAGGCAGCCGCAGATATTCAGAATGACCAGCTGCCCGGCGGACACACAGCTGGGGGACAGATGACCACATGATGACGACGGCCAGCTTGTTTGTGAAGCACCAAATAAATAAAAAAAGCTGGAGTTCTCTGAGGTTTGATGCTACTTTCACAGTAGCAGCACAAACAGCAACATTGTCCAACCAAACAAAGCATTCTGGAGATTAACCTGCGAGATTAGAAAGTTAAACGAAGTCAAAGACAGACAGGTTACAGTTCTGTTCTGGTCCAATCTGGCCAAACTGACAACAGCCTCTTTTAAACAGCTGACACCGAGACACAACTCTTACAATAGCATTGCTTTTAATTGAATTCCAACTCCAGCTGGCATTTAAGACAACCCTGACCTCCACTGATGGGTAAGTATAGTATACCATTGATTCCTGGCTGTTTCTATTTCTCTTGCATAGAGGATGTGGAATTAAGTATAAGAACTGATTCTCAATGACAACGACTGAAGGTGAAGTAACCACAATTTATTATCAATCAGATTTCATACATTATTCAGTCAATCGTTGAGTGCGAAGTTTAAAAAATAAAAAAAAAGATATCGAAAATGTTGAATAATTTGTTTACTGTATATCTCAGGAGGTTAAATGGGATTTTGACCTCCTGTTTTGAAAGAGCACTTCTGAAACAAAAGTTTTGATGCTCTTCCGTGGTTGGCAATGAATCGTTTTAAGCGCTAAAACATTTGTCAGCGAGCACAACAGAGGAGTTTGTTTTGCTGTGGAGGGCGCTCCTTTTTGTCAATCAGTTCGGTGTTTACCTTGGAGCTGTGCGGAGAGGGACTCCTGGTGCTGCTGGTACTTGAGAGCCATCGCCTCGGTCCTCCGGAGCTGCTTGTGCATCTCGTAGGACATGAGTCCCCCGTACATCATCCCGCAGAGCACGGTGACCAGCAGCAGGCACTGGAAGATCCGCCGCTGCCTGCGGGAGCACACCCCGTTTCCCATGTTGGACCCGCACCCCTCCCCGCCGTCTGCGCGAGAAAGCCCCGTCTCTGCTGGTGGAAACTTCCGACTCAACTTTTTTTTTGTTTGTTTTTGTCGCACCGCTCCCGGTCACTCCCCGAGCATTTCCAGCTCACGAAACGGCACCGCTTTACGTGCAAACAGTCGCCTCGGCGCGCATTATTGTAACCGAGTCCGCTCCACTTCAGAGGAGTCGTTCAGATCTTCACTTCCAAGTCAAAAGTCCAGATCTGAAACTCACAACAAGAAATGTCGGGCTTCCCGCTTTCAGGGTCGCTCTGTGCTCTCCTCTTCCTCCGTCAGACGTTCCCGACGCAGTTCCGTCAAGCTTGCGTTGAAGTTGGGCGGGGGGGGAAAAACTGGCGTCCAGGTCGAGGCCTCTGAAGTACCTCTGATTGTAGTTACGTGTCAGCCCAGACGCAGATCCCCATCCAACTGCTGCTCCGCAGGAAGTCCCTCCTCCACAGTCACTGGTTTCCCAACTCCAGCCCTCATTCCTGCTGTCAATTGGCCGCTTCAGGGCTCCATCAAAACCCGACCCGAGGAGCCACAAGTCACTGCTGTGAGTTTAATGCACCGTTTTCCATCTTGTTCAACTTCAGGTTGAAACAGTGTTCAGTCTGCAAAGTAAAATGTGGATTACCACATAAAATCTCACTGTCTGACACTGACACTAGTTATGATACATATAACAAAGATGTCTTTAAATTCGCATTCAAATGATCCATTTCTATTAGAGGAACTTATTTTTTTAAATTTTGCAGTTTTCCCTGGCTTGTTTTTTTAAGTGCAATATAAATCTGGTCTTACTGTAAACAAAACAGCTTCTGTTTCCTGCAATGTTCCAGCAGTGATTGAGTCCTGGGAAGGATGTTCAGGGACCTCTGGGAACTGGCAATTTGATGGAAACAGATTATACTGTACACTAAGCCATCTCCCGTTGAGTTAGCGGAAGATGGGGATGATCAATCAGTGTCTTACCATCCTGACAGCTCCTCCGTGTCACACAAAGGTCGGCTTTTCCTTGATATAAAAAAAACGGGGTGACTTAGGCAAGGTTCATAGTAGACACAGAGCTCAATCACAATTAATTAAACAGAAAACTAGACTTAAAGATCAAATTTACTAACTATATTAAGGCCGAAACATCCACAAAAAAATTTAATTGTTAGATCTACAGCTGTCTACACATTAAAGTGAAAAACAACAATGCTGCAGAAGACCTATTCATAATATGTTATTTTGTCAAAAGATATGATTGTGTTTCAGCGCTGTTTTAACCACATGTCAGGTTTCTGTTTCACTTACATTCATCTGCTTTTATTGTGTTTCCCTGATGACAGAAAACTTCAAGAAGATTATGTTGGCTGTATTTTATCTTTCTTATTACTACAAACAGATCCCCTGGAGAGAAGCTAATCAAGAATGAAACCATTTCACTGACAGCATTTCATTTCATTCAAACAGTAGGAAATTTGTCACGCTGTGGTTAACCAAAAATACTGTCAAGTTACCAGATATCTCATCTTTCTAAGATGCCAAGAAATTGCTTTTCTCTGATGTGACCAATTAAAGTGTTTCAACATAATAGTTTTAAAAGATACTTTCAGTACTTAAATCTAGCAAGGAAATGTGTATAACAACACAGCAATAGGGAGCCTAATATTTTTGTGTCTGTGTAAGGAAAAAGCATGGATGCATGCCTTTCAACAACACCTTGCATTATATTTGTACTTTTTAATGCCCATATTTGAATTTACTCTGACTGATTAATATTCACTAATCACAGCTTCAATGACTTTTTGTGTAAAGTATTATTTGGAGGACATTTACCAATTACATGTAGGTATTTTTGGATATTAGATAACAAGGAAATTAAATTGTGAATGTTCTCAACATTTTAAAATTGCATTGAACATAACCTAGAATCTTTCTCGCCTAAAAAGACTAAAATAGATGTTCTCACCTAAATGTTAAAAAATATTTCCAACACAATGCAAATTAAATTCACAATCATCACGGCAATTATTTGGCCCAGAAGTTCATCTGGCACCGGCAGCCCTTGAGTGACTAAAAGCTGGTTTGGAGCCAATATGCTTTTTCGGCACAACGGCCCCATTGTCTTCAATGCCTGGTTCTCATTTCGACACATGCTATAAAAATGTTTTATGCTATGCTTAGTTTGTCTTGTGTATCATCCATAGGTTTCCGAATAGAAATGGGTCCCAACCCTGATCATCAGGCACTCCTGCTGTGCGTGCTTCAGTTGTTCTTACACATCTGTTAGTTGGATGGAAACGGGCTTCAGCAGCTCTTGATGACATGCGGAGGAGGAACAGACAAAACTAACAGACAAAACTAAGTCATGCATGGTCAGGGGGCCTGAGGACCAGGGTTAGGAACCACTGCCTTATAGCATCTTCTGATTATTTTTCTGCTCCCATTACTTCTCTCAGTGCCTCTGCTCTTTGCTCCGATCACAGATGTGTCAGTATTTAGGTTCACTTGTTTCTTGTTCCAGTAATCACCCTTCCAGTGCATTGTCAACTTTTTGACAGATCGAAAGGCTACTCACTGTGGCCGTTAGCCAGTCGATTTCTTGTTTGTGTATTTGTCCCAGTGCTGTTTTGGATTTTTATTTTGTTTGCAGAATTTTACTTTTATTTAAGATAAACTTTTCAAATGTTTGCATCATCTCGGTCAGGGTCCTACCCTCCAAACCTGTGTTTGCGTCCAGCATTGCACGATCTGTGGGGATTTACACAATATTAATGAGAAATTATTTAGGAATAGATTCATTCATTCATTCATTCATTTTAGTTTATGACAAATGAGTGGCAACAACTGTCTCCCTGTCCTGTCTTCAATATGCCTTTTTATTTCTTGCAATGATTCTACTATTGCTACCCATTGTTTTCAGCGCTGTGTTGTGTAGCAATTAGCTCATTTATTTTGGCACTTTTTAGCATCTGCTATTATGAAAAATAATGGCAGCAGATAAGTTGTTTGCATGCAGGAGCAGCTGAGTGTGGAGGAGGCACGGCTGTGCTTTTTCAGAACAGATGGTGTGATCTTGAACATTTTACTGTAAAGGAGAAACTCAGCACCCCGCATGTTTAACTGTTAATTGAAAACCTCCATTCATATTAATTGCACACATGACTTGCCCTCTGTTTCTTGAGATGTTTAGTTTGAAATCATCAGCTCCATTGCAACCCTAACCTAAAGTCACTGAATGCATCCTTTTCCATCAAACTTTTCCACCCATTTTCCAGCTAGGGCAGCACATAAATCTTCTAACTCTTAACACCCATCACTGAGTCACTGAGTCATTGTGCAGTTCTGTCTTTGACCTCTGAAATCTGTAAGGGGGGAGCCCTATTTTATAATTCATATTTCTTATTCACATGGCTGTCAGGAACTCTTGCCACAGAGGTATTGCTTGTTTCTTATGCTGAGATATGTGAAAATCTTGACTGCAAAACGATTTATTTCATGCCAGCCAAAATTTTTACCTTTGATATTTTTTTCAATACAACTGAAGAAAGTAAAACAATTGTAGATTTTAGACAGGATGCAACTGTTTATTCATATTTTGCATAATAAATGTCACCTGTGACTATTTAATTTCAGGAGATTCTCCTTTTCTCAAATTATGAATTGACTCCAGTTAAGAGGTTTGCGTAAATAGACACAAAATGTGTGAAAAGGCAAAACTTTAAGATATTTTATTGGTTATTTGAAAGCATAATATGTATAAACAGGATGTCGATTTTATGCATGTTGAGATAAACACATTTCCTTTCCACTTGTTGCCGAGCCTGCTCCAGTCGGCCACACGATGGCGCCCTCTGCCGTTCTTACGGCGGCGACCAGCCCGTGAAGGCTTCTGCCCTGTGAGGGAACCCGAAGCCTCGCTGAGGTAAACGCGTTCAGCCGCCGTGGATCAACCCGCTTGAAGGACCGAAGCAGCACACTCGCCGTCAGAGCGCTCCCGACGTCCCGGATGGAGACGGTAAGCTGTCCGCTAGTGTTCAAAAACAGATGCATGCTGGGCTTCCGTTGTTTGATCACATTTCGACAGAAACAGAATCGTGCGGTGAGAATCGACTGGTCGTCCACAGGCTGTACCTGACGTCTGGAAAGTTGAGAGGACGAGGAGAAATCAGCGAACAGGGCATGGACGAGTCTGTGTGTTTATTTGTTTGATAATCGGATGATTATTGTTTGGCTGTTTATGCATGCAGGTGGATTTAAGGGAGAGTGAGAGGGCAGGAGAGGTGTTTCTGAGTTGGCCGAGTTGTAAATAGGCTACTTGGATCATTATTTATAAGATGTGGTGCAAACACATGCATCGCATAATGGTATATATTTATTATGTTTATTTTGTCATAGGAAGCATGCTTGATGTACTACAACACACTTCCACTCAGACACGCACATGCAGATACACGCAATCCATGCTTTGCGTTTCTGTGTGAGTACAGGAATGTGTTTCGTGGAGCTTGAAAGGCAAGTTCAGTTGCACACTTAAAATAACTCTGAGAATCTTCGGAAAAATGAACTCAATTCGAGTTCAGTGCGAGTGGAAGTGTGGATGGTGCTCTGCACTCTCTGTGTGGCTACACTTCGGTGGGGAGTTGGGTGAGGAAGATGAAGTGGGGTAAGTCTGGGGGACTCCTCAAGGTCACAGATGTTCAGACAGACAGACAGACAGACAGACAGACGATAAGGCAAAATTATTTCTTCAAGACGGATGTTGGATTCTACTTTGTTGATTTTTTTTTTGGCAGTATTTAGAAATACCCCCACTCAATTCTTGATTTTATTTACCTTTTTTGTCAAATGCTCGTCCCTAAATGTACTGAATACTAAGGCTGATTCTTTATTTACCATTTTCAGAGGTGATTTACGACTTATTTAAGCAAAAAGCACACAAACAAATTATAAAAAGTAAGCTTCCAACTACTAAACATAAAACAAACCCTATTCAATCTGCTTTAGTAATACAGAATTATTTATTTGTTGTTTTTTTCCTCAATTTTAATTTATTGATGAATTCCAACATTTTAACAATGCAACATATTTTAAATGGGGTTGAAACAGTGAAGCCAACATCACTTGGTCTTCAAGGTAGACCTGAGTGGAACTCCTCTCTTGCTGTCCCACACACACCCAAACACACACTCACTCCCTCTTTCTGCTGTAAAGTATTTTCATTGTGTCAACTCAGAATTCCCTTTCTACACAGATTACAGAGGCCACAAATGCACTTTGAAGCAGAATATTTGTTTTTTTTTTTTTTCTGAAGAGGAAGCTGGCACAGTTTAGTTGTTTAGAAGAAAACTTAAAAAAAAAACCCTGTGCGTGTCATCTTTCTATTTTTAGAAAATAACCTATGTGATGTACACCGCAAAGAGAAAGCTGCTTTTCATTCCACTTCAAAGAGTGAAGGTTACTAAAAGTTGTCTCATCACTGAGCAACTGCAGATTTTATCTGAAAGCACTTTAAGGTCCTGAAGTTTTGTGCACAGAGATGATCCCTTTAATCATTCTGCATTCCTGGGTCTTTCTCAGATGCCAAACCCCAGATCGACCCGCTTCCTTCCGTTCAGATTCAGAGTTTAGGCTGCAGGCCACAGCGGGAAACGCAATGAATAATGAATGGCTCTGAGATTACGAGTTCATGTTAGTTGGGTAAGCGTGAGAGTTTATGCGCAACACCAACCAGAAAATATTCTTTCTTTAATGGAAATCATTTTGGTGAGAAAAAAAATGAAACAAGACATAATGACAAACATTCTCTCTTCCAGTTTTTTATGTTGGAGTTGCAGCACCACCAGCACTGAAAATGAAAACAATACTGACGTGCATTTTTTCATCCTTCAAATGAATATACAAAATAATTCAGTTTTGAATTTTATCTGTTCTCGTTCCACCTTTCAAATAACATAGTTAATATTAAAATAGGTTTTTGTATGTTCAGGCTTGCTTCATGCTGACGTTTTTGTTAGTCTCAATTAGGACCATAGGGCTGATTTACAGTTTTGTTTGCCTATTAACTACAGTGTTTAACAGCTTTTTATAGCCATTTCATGATCTTGTATTAACACATATACGATTTCCACACAGATATCACTTTATTGATATCTGTGTGTAAGCTGTGCTTACAGGAAAGGTATTATATTGTGTCTAGATATTTTTAGATCCCCTGCTATTAGTCATTCATGCTTTCTTTCCACTGTAGTCTGGAGCAGAGTAATCATCATCCAATTGGTAGTTTAACCTCAAGCACAGCCATTTGTCAAAGTGCCTGTGGCTGAGACCATAAATTAAAATGAAGGCTCAAATTTGCTCATCTGCTTGTTTGTGTTCAGAAAAAAAATGCTTGACACATGAGAAAAACACAATCTTTATACGTTGAAGATTATGAGGAATATTTTATAGCACTGGATCATCAGGAGTCTAACACGCCGGTCCTCAAAAGCCAGTGTCCTGCAGCTTTTAGATGTGCTTCAACACACCGAGTTGAATAGTCAGATCATTAGCAGGACTCTGGAGAACTTTACTGAACACTGAGAAGGTAATTAAGTCACTTCTTTCAGGTCTGTTGACCTGTCAAGGGAGACCCCGCCTCTCGCCCAAAACATTCACTGGAGATAGGCACCAGCACCCTTCCCGATCCAACTAGGGACAAAATGGATGGATGGATGGATGGATGGATGGAAGGAAGGATGGAAGGAAGGATGGAAGGAAAGAAGGAAGGAAGGAAGGAAACAAGGAAGGAAGGAAGGAAAGATATGTGCTCCTCTGCCACGCCTTCTGTTTTCTCTCCTTATCTCTTCATGTTTCTCACCCTGTCAATCTTTCCCTCTTTGGCCTTTTACAGTAGCTATTTTCTGCAGCTCCTGTCACCCTGTTCTTCACCATCTCTGCTCTGCAGCTGCATAACACCAAAGCATTAATTATGGAGAACTTTCCCTCTTTCAGGCACACACACATTAATACAATAGTCCTACGGTGTGTTGAATTGCTAAGCCTTGAGGGTCTATCTTTCTAGGCAAAACTCTTTCTCTGCAGGAGTGTGGGCCTGTTTCTAAGGACCTCTTTTGGGGTTCTCTTGTTTGAGACTTTTCCATCTTACTTATTCATGACATTCAAGGAATGTTTTATGTAACAAACTGGCCCTGGTACAGAACAACTAATTATCTATTCAGATTTGAATCATGTCATTATTATCATCCACATTAACAGCAGTATGAGCCAATGTTAGTTATTTTGGGCATCTGCCAGTGATAGTGATGAAGGAAAAGACTGGGGTGTATTTAACTAGAGCAGAGAAGCAATGTCACCACAAAACCGACATACAGAATGTATCCTCCTCCATCTTGCAGACGTACAATATATTTTTGGACATTTAAAATCAAATGTGGAACACTGGAATGCATTCATTTTCTTCACTTCTGTCTTCACTTCTTTCACTTAGCTCTTTTAAAAAGTACTTGTGTGAGTTTTTGTCAGTGTGATGTTCTGCAGACTGAGCAGGTGCACACTGCACAGAAAGACAGGGCCCACTGAGCAGAAAGGGAGAGGGGTAGAGGGGAACTGGTGACGGAAGGAAGGAGGGGTCTGTCTTTATAGGTCATACAAAAGAGTCAGTGTTTTCTCCCTCAGTGTGCTCAGAAAAAGCCAGAAGTGGTGACGGTGGGAGCAGAAAAAAAAAGAAAAAGAAAGGGGCCCTTTGGTCAAATTGTCCTCACATAGCCTGTAATTCTTTCAGTGGCCCTCACAGGCACTCAGCACCTGTCAACCCACATCCAGCGGCTCACTCACAACTGCTCTGCAGTGTCCAGGTTTCTGCTACAGGTTCCCCTTAAATCCACTGGATGATTTTAGGATGACAGAGGAGCGACAACCAGGATGCTATAATAGAAAATTGTCAAAAATACAGTACATTACTAAGGATCATATTTTGTATGTGATCATATATCACATCGACACGAAGATATAAAAATTGTAAATGAAACTCTATGGACTTACTTCATATGCAAATATCCATCAGTCATAGCAGAAATATCAAAGTGATAGAAAACCTAATGCAGTTTCTTCCTTAGTGACATTCTGACACTGGGAGGAGGTTACAGGTTTCTCATAGTCAGGAACTGGTTGCAAACCTGAGGCCATCAGGTAACAGTTAGGCTGGCTGACAGTGGCTGAAACAAATGTGTGCCTGATCTGGTTAACCTTAAAGGTGGAACTTCTCGTGAAAATTTGGAGAAGGAAAATGAAGAACTTTGCCAGACCGTTGAAAATCTCTGTAGGACAATCTGCCAAAATCGGCAGGAGTTCCAGGCAACAACACCTGCAAGCACAATATGACATCCTTGCAGGTGAAGAGAGCAGAGCAAGAGTTTAAACACAAGGACATGAGAGCTGAAGTGCATTGCCTGGAAATGACCCGTCTGACTCTGAAACAAAGACTGCAGAAGCTTCGGTTGACTTTGTCAAAGACACAGCTGTCGACAGAGAAGAGATCCGAAGAGCTGGAGAGTCTTTCAGAGGAGTTAGGGGATCTCCGGAGCCGTCACGAGAGAGACAGTGAAGAGATCGACTACCTTAGCTCACAAAATATGGCTTTACAGTCTGAAAATGTTCAGCTAAGGGAAAGATTGGCAGAACAGGAGAGTAAGGAGCACCAGGAGATGAAGAACCAGGAGAGCCAGGGACCAGCTTCAATTCTCAGAAATTCAATTCTCCGGTAAAAGGGTAGGTACAGTTTTCTAGACAATGTACAGTAACACACAGGTACTGGATACCAGCATGGATTTTCCAATCCATCTGGTTGTTCTGGTGAAACTTATTACGTTGCTGATACTGGTTCTAGAGAAACGGGTCACTTTGCTGAAAGTGGTTCTGCTGCCTCCTGCCTCTCCAACACACTGGGTCGTTCAGATTTGCCAGGAGACTGGAGTGATATGTTGAAGGAGCTTTGTTGCTATCCCTCCAGTTTCTACACCTATGATTATGTTTTCCACCAGTCAAGTTTACACATGCGGCGAAAAACATATCTGCCAGAAGACTCCTATTATTGCAACCCAGAAAAGGAATTAGAACAAACTACGTTTTAGACTGTTATTGTTCCAAACCAAAAAATTAATTAGACCAGAGAATGCTTATTTATCTACCAACCCTGAAGGGGAGTATCTAGGTTATTTATTTTAGATCAACATTAGATTCTTTATCTTCTTTTGCTCTTTCCTTTGGTTTGTTTTTTTTTTGCTTGTATTTCCTTTTGATTCTTGTAAAGCACTTTGTATTGCCTTGTTGCTGAAAATGTGCTATATAAATAAAATTGCCTTTTACCTTTACCTCCCAAATCTACTTTTTTTGTTTTGAAGATTTCAGGTTCTGCCCCCACAGTAACAGACATGAACAGAAAAAGGAGGCTGTGATACTATAGTGGTAAATTCATATCATTAATCCTCATAGCTAATCTCATCTTCAACATAAATAACAATAACTACATATTTTAGAACAGAAAATAAAATCATACATGTAATATTCAAACACTAAAAGAGATAATACCTGAAATAATAAGTTTGAACATAAAAAAAAGTTGGTTGTCTCCAGTCTGACAGCTTCTACATTAAATAAAATACCAAAAAAATAACCCTCAACAAACTAGAAAGCAATAGCAGTTAGAAACAGTTAACATTTGTACAACTAAAGCTAAAATAAGCAAAAGTAACAACGCTAACATTTAAAAATACACACAAAACATAGCAGGTTTACTTAAGAAACACTGCACACTATCACAATTGTCAAAAATATATTGTAAACTATAATATTTGTAAAGAAAACACAGAGCTTATCCTAATACACACCACAGAAAAAGTAACAGAAAAAAGGAGCGAGTTGTCAGTTACTGGTTACTATGGCAACCGCCAACTGTCAAAAGCAACGCCAGAACTTAAAACACCAATGAATGTCTAAAGGTACATTCCTGAGCTTGTTGAGCCGTAGCTGGGTGATTAATAGCAACTTGCTGATTGTTTAAGAGCTGAAATTCCTCAGACCCACTTTTTTTCCTCGCTCTGTGTACAGACACACACACACACACACACACACACACACACACACACACACACACACATGCGCACACACACACACACGCACACACACACCGGTGCTCAGTTACTCAGGTGCTCTGTGACATATTGAGAGCGCAGGCTCACGCTGTACACAAACAAGCACTGTATCATACTCTTTGTGATTGTGTGTACTGTATTCAGGGGAACTAATGGAAACAGCATTTGCCAGCATTCTGTGGACACTGAAACACTATCTGTGTCTGACTTTCCCTTGCCTCTGACACCAGTTTGCTATCTTTCTTTTAGTCTGCATATCTCCATGCGAGTTTTGTTTCTTCCTCCTATTGAATGTTTTTCCCTTCTTTTTTGCCTTGTCCCATTGCCTCTCTGGCCCACTACCATTTTATTGCAAAGTGTTTAATCTAGTAGGTATGTACTAAAATGACTTTCTATTACCTGATTTCTTATATGCAGGTAATAGTTGTACCTTATTTTTATTAAGTGCTCAGCTACAAGATTAAAACAGTGACATCTATCAGCTTCCTACCAGAATTTATTAGTCCAATTCTCGAGGTATGCATTGTTTGGGTATAGAGGAAGAAGCCAAAGAGAACAAGGGAAACAAACTCATTAATAGAGAATAGGAAGAAAATATTGTAAGTTGATTAAAAATTGCTGTTAAACTCATGCTGCATGAGCAAAAACTTCAGATTAGGTTCCTAATTGTTCACAACAGTCTGTAAGTATAAGATGGACTGGAAAAGAAGAATATTTTTATGGTTGTTATTAATGCAACCATTGTATGTTGTAGAGAAATTTGGACATGGACATCAGAAACATTTTATAGATTATACAAGTATAACTAGTATTCTGTTGATGGAGAATGAGAAAAAAATGTCTGGGGAAAATAAAAGAATCTCATTATGGTTTTAATTCTTAAGCTCCTTCCACAGAAAGATCTCAGATCCTATAAATGTAATGCTCCTTTGTTGGCATGCCTGCAGGTTCAAGATAAATCTCTTTGCTCTATAGTTGCTTAGTTTATTTTTCACTTTTTTGGTTCTGTGGTTCAGGCTAGGACCAGTAAAGAATCCTGTTGTTGTGTCCTGGCATAGGCTTCATGGCCGGCATTGGCTTGGCAGCGGAGATAAGTCTCCCCAATGATCTGCTTTGTGTTTTCCTTTGGTCTGGCTCAGGCCCACTTCTGTGTGGCTCACAGGGAAACTGTGTGAGGATTAGATTGTGTCCGATTGAAGAGGGAAGCTCATACTGGAAGCACAGAGTGACACAGATACATTTATTTAGCCTCACATCCAAAGAGGAGAGGAAACAAAAGATCCCAGTTTAGCTGGTGTGGGAGTGTTCGCTATTTTTTTTTTTTGGTGGTGTTGCTTTTAGAGTTAATGTTTTAATGTTTTATTAAAGCTGACAAGGCAAGCGACCGTCACACGTAAATGGTTAACGTGTTAATTTCCAAACCCACAACTTAACCTTTCTTCACATCACACAGTAAAGGCATGTAGTTTAAATCTTTGAACTAAAGGATCATAGCAATAGTAATTATTGTAAAAACATACTTTTACACTATGCCTTACCAAAATATAAATATTTTTGAGATGGATAGCAATTCCTTTGTATGCATTTTGGATGCTATGCACCGTTTGGTTGCAGATATGTGACAGATTACCAAAGACTTTAGATCAAGTCATCATATATTAACCATGCTCTTGCAAAGAGTGGGTAGTTTCTAAAAGAATAACCTTGGATTTAAAGCAGGGAGTCTGGGAGAAAAAATAAAGTATTGTGTTCCCACTGAGCAAATCTATGAACTTAGCGGCAGGCTTTAAAAGAGGAGTCTTGAGGCGGAGAGATGTAGTGCAGACCAACCAGGTGTTTAATTCCCAACATTTAAAACAAACAATCCTGCAGACATTGGGCCATGTGTCTCCGCAGCAGCCACACCCACACTGATGTGGGCAACATGTAGGCTTTTATAGACTCTGGCTGCACCAATCCACAACCCCCTAAAAGCAGGATAAAACAAAATACATATACACCAAACAAGACAACAAAAATTCACATAATATTAAACACTTCATTTCATAGCAATCATTTCATTTCTAAAAATACCCTTATAAATATTAATCTAATTATTAAATTCTAAAAGTCACAGTGCTTTGCTCCCCCGCTATATTTGGTCTCTCTCAGAACCTTTATAAGGTGCCCAGGCCCCCGGGGAATCTTTTAACCTGAACACCCCAAAAGAAAAGAACAGAGGGAAGTCACAATCTATACACACAATTCAATACATTTAAAATGTTTTCATACACGTAATGAAAACCTTCATTACAACTGCCATCTAGGCTCTGGTGTCGTTACCTGGTGTGGATCTGTGAATATCTGCTTTTTCTTTCTTATTGAACTAAAACTTCTTGGAAATTCTTGGACTCACTTTTTCCTTTTTAGGCTGTTTCTCCTTTATATGAAATTTTTGTGGCAGTGTGTAATGGACCTGAAGGCTACCACACAATTCTGCCATCTTTGTCTATACTTAAAAAATAGAGCATTTTGTCCTCAGATTTGATGTATTAGAAGCAGGAAAATTGGTCAAAGATTTCGGTGGATTTGACATGGCTTGATAGGGAGATCAGAGGAACTCCCAAACATCACTTCTTGTGAACTATTAAGGGCTTAACATCTATCAAAAGAAAGGAACAGTGGTGAACTGGTAACAGGATCATCAAAAAGTGAAAACTGTGGATTAAACAGTTATCGACTGATGTGAAATGTATATGTCGTGATAAGTTTTTCAGCCACGTCACCCAGCACTTCTATGATGATAATTAAACAACCACAGACTGTGGGGTCTGGATTGCTTGCTAAATTACAGGTTTATCTTCTGACTGCTTTGGCATGATTTTTGATGCCACTACCAACATTTAATTAGGCTGTTTCCAAACTCCACTGAATTTTGTAGAAGTTCTCACTTTCCAGCTGCATTCCCGTCTGTCTCTGAGCTCTGATCAGTGACGCAAAAGAGCCGCCCAAACAGCTGTCCTTCTCTACTCCTGACAGAAAAACTAATCAGCTCTGCTGGCCTAACATCTGGTAGTTTGCTATCAAGTCTACCTACCATGATGCTTAAGTGAGACAGACACTGGGATGTTTCAAACACATTCAGATGATTCTGCCTTCTACTTTGGCTGCATGTCTTGTGTTTGATTTCTTTATTTCTTGTTTTGTTTCTCTCTTCTTTCTCTTTTAGGACTTTGCTTTTTCAGGACTCCTTTCTCCAGAATATGGCTGTCATCGACACTAACAGACCTCACACTGAGCCAGAAAAGCTTGGCCCAAACTGGTCCAGTCACATCCATCCTACCTGATCCTGGACTCTCAGATGTGGATTTAGGTGCTACTGTTAAAATGCAAATAACTCTGGTTGACATTTCATATCTTTCTTCAAAAAGTGAAACAGAAAAGGTATTTCTTTAGTTAAGGATTTTCCCCACACTGTTATGTTTTATTCATTCTCCAAAACTTGATTGTAAAGTCCTGAGTATAGCTGGTCTCAGTGGACCGCTCCTTCAGGGTCAGAATGCACCAGCTGTTTAGTCGGGTCCTCGGCCAGAGAGACCTGTCCAGAGCAGGAGACCTGTTCTCTCTAGAGGACACGGAGATTGAAGACGGCCTGTCTGAAGCTCTGGATCAGATCAAGGACATCTCCTGTTCACCAGTCAGTAAGCATGTCTAAAGAGGCAAAACCAATACACAGTCCTTTGAGAGTTATGTAAATACTTACATAGCAAATGCCACTTTAATGAATAATTTATTTTGTCATGTATTATTAATATTCTTAATTTTGCTGCCTGCTTCTTTCTGCCGGCCGACAGGACTATTTGACCAACGACAATGATCAGGCCGTGGTGGAGATTTGCATCACACGCATCACCACGGCCATCCGAGAGACCAGCTCCATCGAGCGACACAGCATGGCCCTGGTGGGCCTGTGGGAGTCTTGTCTTGAACATAACCTGACTCCTCAAGGGGAAAGCACAGAAGACACGCCGCACGCAAAGATAGCCTCTGACATCACCAGCTGCATCCTGCAGGTACATTATCATCAGAGACAGACACTGGGGGGTTTGATGACCTGGAACTCTTAAAGGACATAACTTTGCATATACCTGTCATCATATGGAAAATGTGTATAGAAATATGTGTGTTCTATACACTAAGATGTTCCCCTATTTGCAAACTCTATTAAGAGGCTCTTAAAGCTTTATTAGTGTTTTCTTTTGCCATGGCCCATTCATAGCTTTGGACTGAAAATACAATGCTTTTTACAGCTGCACCTCAAGTTGGCTAAATGAGGGGTACAATAACAACTTTTAAACCTATTTGTAATCCTTGGACTTTTTTCTTTGTTGTCAGATTACAACTACAAGCTTCATTTTATTGGGATTTTGTGACAAATTGACAAGGTGAAGTAGGAGCAGAACAGTATCGAATTGAATTTAATCGAATTGTTATGGTCATTTTAACAATGACCATAACGATTCCTACAGATTTTGGTGCAATTCTTCAGATAAAAAAACAATGTCTTACTTGAAGACTATAAATAATGATTTATATTTCATTTATCTTTTGCAATATCACTTATCAAGAGATGCATAAAAACTGGTAAAGCTTATAGCTTCGTCGGATTAGTAAACAGTCATTTAATTTTAAATGCTCTTACATTCAAAAGAAAAAAAGCAGGTCAGGGATACAGTTGTGTAAAGCTGGGTAAGGTTGTAAAGCAAAACATGACTGAACATCAACTGAGAAAAAGAGGAAGAAAGTGGCACAACTGCCAACCTTCTTAGACATGAACATCAACCTAAACTGAGAAGGCCAGCAAACAGAGCGTTATTCAGAGAAGCTATTCAACTAGTAACACATTAAAAAAAACATACAAATAAGAATGAAACCAATAGAATAATGCAACGACTCCACAGCTTAGTATGAACTGTGAATGTTGAGAAACCATAAACATAAAATCCCTATAAAATGCATCAAAGTTTCTGGTTGTAACAATCCCAAGGATGAAAAAATAAAATCCTAAAAAAAATTCCATGGACTATGCAATTTTTTAATATTAATTGTTCATTTTCGCAAGACACTGTATTGTAATTAAAATAATTTAAATACTAAAAAAATTTCAAAATTTTATTACACATAGGAGTATTATTTTTCAACTTCAACGAGTTAAAAAAAAAAGCGATACACCGAGTGTATTACTATAATATAATAGTGATACACTCTTACTGTACATACACAATCAACCTTTTTTTTTCAACAGCATGACATTTTAATGCCTTTTCTCAGAGTGATGTACTAATATCATTTAGTGCATTGCTAATTCAAAGAAGAGCACTGCTGGCAGCCATTGTCAATCAGTCCATTTAACAATATGCTATTTTCTGGAGAAACTGAGACATGGCTAATGTAACAGGATTAAGCCATTTGGATGTTTTTCTGTTTAAAATTTATCACTAAGGTCATTTGTGAATGGTCGTTTGAATTGAATGTCACAGTCTGAAAAGTAAGGGTCAAATCTTTGTTCTGCAATCTTTGCACACAGTTTCACTGTGCAGAACCAAATGCGTGTGATCCTTGTACATCACAAGCATTGTGATGTACAAATGTTATTTGGACATCAAATAACATTTGATGTTATTTGATCACAGAGACTGCGCGTGTGTGTGTGTTAAGTGATGTTACAGCATCTCTCCTATGTCTGCATATAATAACTACATTTGAAACAATTTCCCTGACCAAGAAAAGGCTCTGTGATGATTTCATATGACCTATTAGATCAGCTTGAGCAGAACCATATATAAAAGTGGTATAAAAATACGTACGAGTGTGACATAGACTACTATTTACCATTTAAGATGGGTAAAATTATTGCTAACCCAAACCATTTCTATAGAATGAGAAATATGTGTAACATGAGTGTTTCTTTTAGTAATTTTGTACTTTCTTCACTTTTGAAGTTGATCAAAGAGTCTAGGAATGTTGAATTAATAACGCATGACTTCCTGTCTCCCAAGAATAAAAATAGGACTTGGCACGGAGCTTGTTTGTCTAAACTGCTCTTCAATATAGGAAAGACAAGAGAACCTGTGAATAAAACAAAACAGGTATATGTTTAACCTAATACATCAAGAAAATCTCCACAACAGCTATTTGACGGATCTTGTCACTTTTCACATTCAAGGCAATAATAAAGACCTTAAAGCAGTTGGAATGATGACACACAAGACTGGAGCAGGACCTTAATATGTTTCCTACCTCCCTGTTAGAGAACTGTGAAAACAGAGACATCTAGGTCACCAAGTTGCCCTTAAAAACCAATTTATTTTAAGGCTTTTTGCACATCTTTATCAGAGGTGCCAAATCCTGTGGAGGTGCTGTGCAAAATACATTTAACTTGCCCTTCCGCAGTTTATATAGTTTCCCATTGCTGTATTTTTTGGATCCTATAACTATTGAAAATTTGATTGAAAGAAAAGTATGTTATCGGGAAAGATTTGTACACAAAAATAACTTAAACGGTAGATTAAATGTTCAAATGATAGAAACTTTGCTGGATTTTAATACAAAAGGTGCAAAAATTCTACTAATTGATGTAGAAACTTTAAGATAGGGTTTCTCCTCTCGGATTTCTCAAGCTAAAGGGTTTAAACATAAATAAGCTCTGTCCGCTGCCTTTTCCACCCCCCTGTCCTGGTTCCTTCAGAAATGGAAATGTGTTAATACCATCCTAATGAGTCCAACTCTTCAGAAAAAGTCCATTCGCATGCTCACACACACAGACACACACAGAGGTGAGACTAAAACTTCTGACAGCTCTGTCTGATTCTCATGTCCCATATCCAATAGCTGTCACAGGAGACTATGCGTCTCTCTTTCTTTACCTTTTTAAAACCTTCTTCCTTGATTTCTAGCTCCCCTGATCTCTGATATCTTTGATTCTCTCTTTATCTCGCTGTCATTTTGAATTTACACCAACACACTTATTTTACCCTTCCTCTGAAACTCCCACAAGGAGCAGGAGAGATGTAGGCAGTGGTTTCTTGGAGGAAGAGGTTTATTGACTCGTTGGTTGTAAAGAAACTGAACACAGGCAAGTGTAAATACGAGCAAAGATTTTTGTCTTATAATGAACATTCACCACACAGACTCTGTGAAATGTCTTAATCTTGATATTTAAATTTAGCCCTGAAGAAAAATGAAAGAAAGAGAATTAGGTTGAGGGTATAAACCTGTACATCTATTCTCAAAGAAAATGAGCCAGAAGATTCTGCAGACTTGAACACACTGCAGTCTTTACTTTCATAATAACTGCACGCAAAAAAATGCAATAAGAAAATAAGAACTTGAGTGCACTCAATTATAATTAGTTTTTCAAACTTGTCATATTTTGATGTGGACTGATAATTAACTGATAAGTCATATCACCTTCATTGTATTTAGCAGCTACACTGCCATCATGTGGCAGAAGGGAGTCATATCGCATACAAAACATACTCTTTAAAAGTATTTAAAGCACTGGCATGAAATAAAGCTATTTTTGGGGTAACAAATTATAATTTCATGTAACAGTAAAGGGGACAGAGTTTTAATTTCTATTTATTTAGGCTGTATGAATACATTTGGAATCACACTGTCCATTAGAGGGTGCTAGTGCATCTCAAATAACATTTCTCCTTTTCCACTCAGACTTTAGAATATATCTTCCAGCTCCTACAGTATGTTTATGCTTGACGTCATGTTGAATTACAGTAAACTCTGTCAAAAGAACACATCAATACATCTAATGTATGTCACTTACAGATATTTACCAACCACTTCTGTTGATAAAGTTTTTCTTAAAGAAAAACGTATATGTGTTAATGGATAGATGAAGTAGGCAGACCAGTGGGTGACAAGCCTATGCATGCCAGTCACCAATTTTTTCAAAGCTAACACAAATGTCTCCTTAATTTGCCACTGCCAGCTGTTCAATTAGCAGTACCGATATGGCCTCCTGCAACAAGGAAGTAACCGCCACTCGCCACTCTGGTCTTAATTTTAGCCCTAATACAATGGGATAGTTTGGATGCTGAAGTGACCAGAAGTCGGCAAAACTCTCCAAACAAGGGGTTTCCTGATCTGGGAAGCCCCTGATTCAGTGGGAAGAAATCCCACAGCGTGTGGTCCTTTTAACGCTTCAAGGTGCTGTCAACCCCTGGAAAGCACAGAGCACTGAGTATTAATGAACATGGACAAGTTAAAGAACTTTGAGTACTTTTGTAAGGCACTGTATTTTAAGGAAGGAAGGAAATACATCATTTTGTCTTTCCTCAGGCACATGATCTGAACTTATTTTCTTCTTTGTCTTCTCAGAACTACAGCTGCCCCTCAGTCATGGCGCTGGCTGTTCCAGTGGCGGTGCGATTCCTGCAGAGAGGGAACCGAGAACTGAGCAGGAACATGTCCAGCTATCTCTCACTGGCTGCTATAGCAAAAGCTGACTTGCTGGCAGAACATACAGAGGCCATAACCGTCAGTGTGCTGGGAGGTACAGTCTACACACTTACCGTCATGCAACTAAATGCGTCTTACTGCTTTTTTTGTGATTTCTTTTACACTTGAAATAAACAGATCATTTTACTCCCAGGTTAGTTTCCACCTACAATAGTGTAAATTTAATAACTCATCATTTTTGTAATTGTGCTTATTTAGATGGTGATTCTCAACTTTGGGGGGACGGTTTGTAGAAGTTGTACTCATGAGCTCTCATTATGAGCATTTTCAATATAAGTGAAACAATCGGGTCAGATGTTTACTCTGGTGGAACATGGAGTGATTGTTGCAATCAGAAGGTTCTGCAATCAAACCATTTAGGAAAATAATGGTAATAAGTTGCAGCTGTTGCTTATTGTTGAACATGTATACATAAAAATAACTTTTTGATGCTACATAAACCTTCACAAATAGTTTATTTGTTGACTTTTTAATATGAGTGTAACGTTTACCAGTAATGCTTTGTTCGACTCCGACATCCACTCTGTAGAATGACGCACATTTTTAAAAGTGAGACACTGTAAGCCTGATACTGCAGCTACTTTGTTGTATTTTCCATTGTTTTGCTTTGAATATTTAGCAAATAGAAAAAAGCGATGAAGATAGTGTGCATTACAACTTGTCTTCACTCTGAAACACCATGCTTTGGATTGCTTTTATTGAACATTGACCGGACAGCTGAGAAGATGGATAGAGATTTTCATTGTGGAGTTTTGAGTTGCACCTCCTCAGACAGATTAAAACAGAAACTAAGCAGTTTAAACATTGAATTCCTTATTCCTCTTTGCTCATGGTCCCATCAGGCTCATGTTGACTTTTGTGTTTTACAAGCCGGCTGTGCAACTGAGTTCTGAAACCTCAGCATAAACACAGGGGTGAGGTAGATGATGGCTTAGTTTCTGAGCTAGCAGGATGGGCAGACCGCACACATGTGTATTTAATACTGAAGTCAGTGAAAGCCTGTGTAGTCATATACACATTGTCCTATTTAATGCATTCCTTTGGAAATGGTTTGACTCAGTTTCAACGTATGTTTTGACGTATATACATTATGTTTTTGTCAGTTTAGTGTATACTCGGTTTTATAAGAAATTGTGTCTGTGTGTTTGTGTATTCCCAATCCAAAGAGAGCTTACTGCAGGATGCAGTTTGAGGGTTTTATAGCTACAGCCGAATATCTCACTCACACATGCTTGTTTACAAAAATGTAACTCTGATTAGCTCCATAGGGGCTAAATGCCAAACTATTCCTTTAAATGTTAAAGTTAAATGTGATCTAAAGTTAGCTACATGGTCTGGAATGCAGTTGTAGACTGAATGCAGGTTGGTTATAGATATATTATTATGAACCAACATGCCGAACGTAGTGCTTCTGACAAAATACCTGAATCTAAACACCTGTGTGTGTGGGAGCGTGCTTGTGGATATAAGGTTTCTCCATAAGAATGTTCAATTGGGGGTTTTGGGAAGCCAAAACAAATCTACCCCCCAGAAAATGAGGCAGACATGAAGGAGACCACAGACCTCATCTAGAAATGGGCAGAAAAAAGGTCACAGGGTCCAAACAAGCCAGCCAGCCAACCAGAACAGCCCAAGGATGAAACAATCCCAACCCCCGAGCAAACTCTAATCTCAACACTATGAACCTCACAACCCCACAAGCCCATAACAGCCTGGTAAAAAATGATAATGAAAACAAAACACAATAAGCATTTTAAAATGACTGTGATGCCTCAGCAAAATGCACGACTACAGAACAATTTACTCTTTCTCCACTTTGATTTTGGAGCTGTTTCAGTTTCAGTTTGTGGGGCGTAGCTGTGGATGCTTCACTGCCTCAAGAAAAGGTTACAGTACCAAGTATCGTCAAACTGTAGCAGGAGCAAAGCAGACTCAAATAATATGTTTTTGTTTGTTTGTTTTAATTTGTTTCTGAAGTGAAGTAAATCCATGGCTGTGATTATAATAAGCTTTAAAGCAAACAAGGGAAAACATTTTGTAAGAAACAGCTAATGCAAAATTATGTGAAATATAAATTAGGACAGACTTTTAACATGCTAAATTTCCTGTGTTGGCTTGAGGCTCAGTATCAAAGTCCTTCTTAGACTCTTCCGAATTCTTTTCAAGGTTTTGCCTTCTCCTGGAAAATGACAAAAAAGCTTGTATACTCACTTTAACTTTCCATTTATTCACTCATGTTATGCAAAAATATTTATTTACAAAATACATTCTGTTTCATCTTGTCACATAAAAAACAATGTACATTATAATACAAGCAACAAAGTTATGCAAGTTTAATCATGCGAGATTTGACTGAGTAAACATTGTCCCCATGGTTCATAAACATATTCCAAAAAACATTTTTACTTTGTTCATTCCAAAGACAAAGAATAATCTAACTATTGAACACAAGAAAAGACACAGCATAAAATTAATTATTCATAAAATCGATGTAAACACTTAATGAATATAGTATTTTTATTATAAAAATTATGTTTGAGTTTAAAAGTTTTTCACACATCCAAAACGTTGCAACAAAAACAATAAAATTAGCCCTACATTCTAGTTTTTCATATTTAAAAGGAAGGCAAGTACAGCAGTTTTTAATAGAGTTGCATATATATGTTCTGAAGTTTATTTCACTGAAAGGTATTGAGCTACCTTCTCCTGCAGTTAATTGCACCTTTAAGGCCGCAGTGAAAAGATTGCAACAGCTTCCCAGTGATTGTGATTCTTGTTAAAATACACAATCTGTGTTGTTTGTTTTTGTTAACTTGCATCTGCTGCTTCTATGAAATCCCCCAGAAGTAAAAACAAAAAATGTCATTAGCCTGCAATAACAGGATCATCTCTTGTCATTGTGTGTAGCCTCTTATTTCTGCTTGGCTGTCTGGTCGTTATCTAGTTTGTTGAGTCAGCAAAAATTTGTCAGCAACTCGGTGTCTTTCTTGCTCTCTAATTAAGTCTTTGGCAAATGCTGCTTGCAACACGTTTCCAGTAACAGGTCATGTTTTCTAAACTGAATTAACTTATAGGTTATCGCACAATTTCTCACAGTCTCTCACAGCATTGGATGATTTTTCCTTTAACCATTCATGGTAATATCAATAAAAATGTGATATTGAAACTCTTAAATGTCCAGTTTCAGCTTGACTTTTTATCAGAGTGGCGATATGTATGCTACAAATAATTATGACTATTAACATGATGGATCAGTAGATGAACTGAGCTCCTCCATGTGGCACGATCTCTGTCACCCCCCAGGCCACCACGCTCCCCCTGTGCTGGCAGCCATGGCCTCGCTGCACAGCCATCTGGGAAATTTCCTCCTCTGACAGGACAGTGTCCCACATATTAACCCCCGTCATTTTCCCAGCAAACGCCAGCTTTGGATCAAAACTTCCCTCAAACCCGGCCACACCACTCCCGCTGGCTGGAGACAGAGGGCAGCAGCCGTTTCTTTCTTGCCCCAGCTGGAGTGAGCCTCCCTCAGGTAAGTTGTGTCCCTTGGCCATCCCGGGTTTGGACGCCATCTTCTCCCCACCCACCCAGAGGATCGCCAGGCCTTGCTCGGAGGACCAGGCTCCACATAAATGGATCCACTGTCCTGGGCTTACCACACTCCTCGCCTCCACCTGACTAGCTTCCTCTCCAACAGTGAACACGGCAGAGGTTTGGGAGAGCAGCAACTGGATCTCAGAAGGGTTTCGACGATGTCCGTAGGAGAACAGCACAGTTTTGTTGAAGACTGAAGTCGGCTTCACCCACATGCAGACAGTAAAGCTGGACAGGGACAGGGGGACATCTGGAATGATTGCAGTGTAAATCCGACGGGAGCGAACAGGAAACAGGAGGGCCATCTCACACCCTGTGCAACAAGTAGAAATGACGGCAGAAGGGGCCAGTCAGTAAAACTCATGGTTTCATATACAAATGGGTAAAACATTAGATTAGATAAGAATGTCTATTACATGGCATGCAGCACTTGACTGTAACCCAAAGGAAGACAAAAAAATATGTCATCACATAAAACAAAGTTTTATAAGTAATCAGTCAAGTTATTAGGAGATTAAGAGTCTAATTCTCATGGGAGTAGATGTCAGCACCCAGACTGCTATATTCTGGAGTAATTGAAACACAATTAAAGAGTTGTGTGACTAAAGTTATGTTTGGGGTAATCAACCAAAAACCTCCAGCAAGAGAGTTAACCAGATTAGAAACTCATCAGATGATCCACTTCAGAAAGACATTTGATGACTTGCAGTCGATAACAATTGTAGTAATGATTCACAGGCAGTTCAAGATGGTTCCATAATGGCTCTTGTTTCATTGTGGTCTGTTGTAAGTTAATGTAGGTTGTATGTTATGTTTGACATTTTGTCACACTATGATGCTTTTGAATTGTTTTAAGTTGTTAAAGGCCCATCTGGGGACATGCTTTGCAAATTAGTTAAGGCTATATGTTGTAGTGTTCTGTTTTTGTTTCTGCTTAAAACTCGTTGATGCAAATAAACAAAGAATTGTTCTCAGATGTTTGTGAAAAAAAGTCCCTAATGTTTGAAATATTACAGACTGATTAGTTTTCACTAATAGTTATAACTATGTATCGTCTGGAATTATCATAATAGAAGAATAACCTATTTAAAGTAACAAATATTGAACCTAAACCAGACACATATGAAAACCTTGCAACTGATGATTTTCATCTCAAAGAGGCCAATTTGATTGATCATAGTCAACAACATTGCCTATCCCTAGTTGTCCATAAGTTGTCATAGTGTAAGAGGGGAAGCACACTTGAAAAAGAGATACACTAAACAAACAACCAAACATGCAAAACATCATTTTTAAGCAAAAACCAATCTGATGAACTGGGAGAAAATATATGTGTCGTGCAGAAAGACCTCTGGCATAATTTGGATTGTATATATATTTTTTTTATATATAAATGATTTATGTAATTAACACCAAAGGATAATTTTGTGTTTTTGCTCCCTAGATTTAGTAAAAACTGATCAATTAATTAAAAACAAAAGTTAATAAAGTGAGTATCATACTGACCTTAAGCTGAGTATCATACTGACCTAAATTAAGCCAGACCAGACGGTCTGGCTTAATTTTTGTCAAATAGGAATGTTGAAATTCTCATGATATTTTAGAATCTACCATGTCACCCATTCTTTTTAAAATCATCTTTCCACTTTTTATGTTTTTTATGTACGGTATAAATTTTTGTCCTCTGGTTTGCCCCCTCCTTCCTGCTGCAACCCTTTTGTCACTCCAGCCAGCTTTCACTTCCACCCGGCTAAAACTGGATATCCTAAATATTGATGTTCTCTTGGTCTCAGGTTTCTGTCACTCAGAAAATAGTAGCAAGGAGAAAAGAGCTTTTTAACGTGTGTGTGTGTGAGTTCTTGTTGGTTTACATCTGGTTCTACTTTCTCGGGGTGCATTGTGTGGTTTTTGTGGTGCATGGGTGATGAGCACACTTCCTTTTGCTCTGTGTGTGTTGAGCTGACCAACATTTCCAGACTTTAAAAAGGGGGATGTCATGAGGAAAGCAGCTCTGGTTCTTAGGATGATGACAAAATCAGCCTTGACTTCACTTTTTAAATTAAACCTTGGGAAAAAGAAGATAGACCTGGTTGAGAAGGTTCGCTTGCCAGAAAAGAAATGTCTAAACTATTTGGGGTGAGCAGAAGTTCTCTCACACAACTTCTTAGAGACCACAGAAGTTTGTCCTAGCTGAAGTTGGGTTACCTAAATGTGCCACTGCAGAAGGAAACATAAACAACTTTACGACTGCTGAATATCAAACACAAACTAAAGGAAACAGAATGCCAGAGTAGAGAAGCTGCTGGTGATAAGATGGAAGGTTTACCTGCAGGTAGACGCCTTTGCCTTGATGACTTCAGCTCTTCATCCAGCTCAGCCTTCAGTGCTTGCATTGCAACTAGCACCTCATCCAAAGCAACCTCTCTTGGTGTCACTTCTTGGAGATGGAGTCCATTTTTGCCATTCAACCCAAAGCCAGCTCCTGCATTTCTGCTGCTGAGGCAGCTGCTCTCTAGCTTGGCCAGTCTGGATGTTTGAGTATGTTCTGCAGAGAGAAGTTGCTGTATCTGTGCCTCCAGGTGGTTGAAATTTCCAACAGCAGAGGTCAGATCACTGAGCTTGAGGAGCTCCAGAGTTTCTCGTAGATGGCCCTCCAGCTGCAAGACCATCCGTCTTCCTGCTGTCTCCACAGCAGCCCCACAGGACTTTTCATACTCAGCTATAAACCTGACAAAGGATGAGTGGAAAAGATTTGCGTCTTTAGCAGAAGAGCTTAAATTCTCCACTTTTGTCTAATTTAAAATCACTTTTTATACCAAAATTTCAGCTGAATTAATGTTATTGCAACAGGACCCCCACCGATAAACCCACCTTCGTAATTCACCACGCAGAGATCCCATTTCGACCTTGACTATGTCATCAACATACTGAATCAGCATGTTCTCCCTCATCTGGCTGTTCTCCATCATGGAGAAGATCTTGTCCCATTTTGTCAGGTCTGGAGAGTTGCAGGGTGTGGAACTCGGTGTGGCTGCAGAGAGACATGGTGAAAAGTTGGACCAGGAAAGAACATTTTACAATAGAGATCCAAAGTTTATGGAGTTTTTTATGACTTGATTATATCGATTGTCAGCATAGTTGATCTCCAGTCATCCTCTTAGTGCAGGATTTCTCCTTGTGTATTATGAGCCTAACAGACTTTACTTCCCCCTGCCGATCGCTGGGCTAAGAGTCATTTGAGTACTTATTTATTTTGAATACGTTTTTAACTACAATAACAGTGATTGCAAAGACAGGTTAAGCTGGGTTTATAGCTGATCCATTCACAGAAGTTGGGACGCATCATGTAGAAAGGATTGTAGTCATATTTTTTGAGGTTCGCAGTTCGCAGTGAGACTGATGTGAGCACACGTCTCAATGAACCGAGATTAGTGTGTAGCGTTTACACCTCACAAGCTCACTCAAAATGTGTTCTGGCACAAACTCTGTGTCTGTGATTGCAGCTTGATCAGGTTTATGTAAATGAAACAAACCACCAGCCAGTCACAGGCAGGTCTTTTTCATCCATTTAAAGTATTCATTGCAAATACTGCATTTCTTCGAATAAGTAAAAACACACAACTAGGAAACCAAAATACTGCACAGTGACGTGACCTTTTTTACGAAATGAAATGACACGATTTAGGAAACCACAAGAAAACTTGAATAAATACTTCAATTTTGTACCATAAAATATTTAGTAAGGCTGAAAAAAGCTTATTCATTGACCATTGAGGTAATGTTTTTTAATTTGATTAGATTTCAAATGTGACCAGCATTATAACTTGTTTTATGATCCAATAACTGATTACTTAATTAGGATTTCACTGAAGAGCAAAATTCTTTTGTGTATTTGCCTTTCTGGACACTCAGTGTCGGGTGTCAGTTATGTCTTTTCATATCACAAGTTATTCTGAGGGCGGTGGCGTCAACCTTGGCTGTATTACAAACAAAGCTGTTTTATTAAGTCTGGAGCAACACATCACATTTAAAAAATGGCAGCCCTCCCATCAATCCTTCGCCTACATGCTGGTTAAACCCCGCCTCCTTAATTTACAGTGGCCAATCACCTCAGCCTTCCAGAGCGGTGAAAAAAAGGAGCCATCGTTAATATTTAAATACATAATGTGAATTACTTATCAATAATAACAACATATCAGGAAGACATTTTATGTATGCAAATGCACAATTTATAAAAAATTTTATTCTTAATTACTTTGATTGCTGGAGTTTTATTTTAGCCAATCAAACTTCAGCAATTATCTCTGGACTTTCTATAAAGGGCTGGGTTTGAGGCAGCCCTCCAATGGCTGCATCCACACATCCACAAGGTAAATAATATTTCAAAAGGTTCATTTACACACTAGAAGGATGAAAAAAAACACTGCTTCTTCACAGCACATAATCATATTTCCTTTTCAACATTTTTTAACACAAACACATGGTGGATTGCCCTAGTGCCCCTACAACATGGCTAAGCAGGAGACCCTGGAGTAACACATTTAGGTAAAAACTTAGATGTAAAGACCGTCTTAAGTCATAATTTCTCATGAACAGTTTGAAGTCTCTGACCAACCTTAAGTTTAGATTCAGTACGGGTGGAATACTACCTGGAGTTCAACTTGGAGAGCCAGAGATGTCAAACTCCAGATCAGCAGATCAACACCACTGAATTCAAAATGTCAACATGGGAAGTTGGAAGTCTCTTAAGCCAAGTTTATATGCAAGATGGGGAGACCACCCACTGAAGTCGACCTGATAAGTTGGAGGTCCTTAAAGAGCCCCTAGTTCAAATGCTGTGTTGATAGAACATGTCCAGAAGTATGAAGTTCAGCATGAAAGATCCAGCAGCCTAGTCTAATCACATGTTCAGATTCAATATGACTGCCATAAAATACTGTGAAAGTTCAAGGATGTTTTCTCTCATTCTCTCATGTTTTCACTCATACTACTGTACAATTTCTATTTAGCAATTCTCATTCTATGTCTTCAACTTGTATGGTGAATAGCAGTTACAACAGCAGACTTAAAATCTCACTTGTACACAGATAGATGCATATCTTGTTCATATATGTTCAAAACACTATTCATCATAGATCAATTAAATATTTAAAAACTTCAATGTGCTGAAAAATAAAAGCAGATGAAGGTCAGCAGGTAGAGCGACAAGTTGATGACAACAAAATGAGAATGTCAGGCTGCTGGGAGATGAATGAGAAAGCGAGAAGGAAACAGAGCAATTTCCCCCGCTGTGTTTCCTGTGAGATTATCCAGCTCTGTGCAGTGAAATGAGAAGCGAGATGGAAGGAAAACAAAGTGGGGAGGATGTGCTTAGAGAAGGAAAGAGATAATATGAGCAGTGGGAAACGTGGGGTAAACGGGTGGGTTAAAGAAACAAGGAGTGAGAATATATATGTGTGTCACACATGTTGTTCTGGTTAGCGTTTGACGCGTTCAGGCTCTGTTTATACCTGCAGACCTTTTCTGGGGGGATGGGAGGCATTACGACAGACCTGCATTGCTTGTTTCAGCCTCTTAGTGTCCATGATTAGTCAGAGGAAGCAGAATTTGGCTTCATGCAGTGTGTTCCCTATGGTTTAATAATGCAGACACTAGTTTACTTTTTTAATGAGAGAGAGATAATATTTTTAACATAAAAGAAATTTTAAATGTAAAAATTTTCTGCATAATAAGTTTAATTTTTATTAAAATCCTCAATGCATTCTTTGCAAAATATTAAACTACATATTTTGTAAACTTCTAGTAAATGCATAGTTAGTCACTTGTTTCCACTGATGAGAATCTGGAGAAAAAGTGGCCTTAAAGCTCAACACCCCCCATTTCCTGTCTGCTGAACGTCATTTTTCAGCCTGCCACTCATGCGAAAATGAACTGTACTGTGACCTCTCGCATGTTGCCTGTTAATTCAGATTCCTCTCAGAGATTGGGAGCTTTGGGCGGGTCAGAACAAGTGACCCGTGTCTCCCTCTGACCTTTGACCTCCCCTCGTCCTGACACACCTGTGAACAAACTGTTCTCAACTCACGTGCTTGACCTTTTCTGTCCCTTCTCCTGCAACCTCATTATGAATTCTGTTTCGTCGCACCTCTCCTCCCCCATCCCCTGAACTAATTTGTGTGTATTTTACCACCCAGTCATTTGCCTGGAGCCCCTTCTGTTTTTGCCCCTTCATCACGTTTTATCACATCACAGCCAGCTTGCCCAGATTTCAGCCTCTTAACTGATGATGGTGCTGCAATTACGCCTCCTACTAGCTTCAGAAAAATCAAACATATGATGAATGCAAGCTGTGAAGGCCCTCACTGAAGCATAAGAAACTGACACATGCAGGCCTTGCCTTTTCTCTCCTGTCCAGGCTGCCGTGCTCATGCAACTTTAATTATGTCGAAAAATAATTCCCTTAGTAATTCTGCAATAAGACAACTGACGTCATTTCACACTGTTTTGTTTTTCCATCTCCATCTCTGCCAACAGCCTTGATACTTTACTTTTCTTTTCCCAACAGTAAACAAGCCAACCAAAAAAAAAAAAAAAAAGAACAGAAAAAAAACTAAGTCAGTGTTATTGTTTTAGGAAGCTTACTGAATAGATTGGAGAGCATCACACAAAATCAGGACTGAATCTCTATTTGAGTGGTCATGGTCTTTTAAAGATCCTAGATATTAGGTTTGACATTTATCTAATAGTAATGGTGCCATTTAGTGAGCTTTTTTCCCTTCTCCACTCCCATTTTGTCACCTGAGAAACAAGCATGACTCCATATACTTCCACCATAGCCAGAAAATAAAATAGTCGTCAATTGCATTACAACAGAAAATGTGCCTTTCAGATAATCAGATAGATATTTAGTGTCAAAGACTTACGTGCTGGTGTCTCTCCATCAGTGATTTCATTATAGTAGTCGGTGTACTGGATCTCAATGTCATCCTCGTAGGCGAGAGTAACACACGCGCACACAGAGAGAAGAAATGCTGCCTCAGGGATTCTCCACCAAAGCATGCTGCTGCTGCCTGAGAGAGTGTGTCAGCAATGTGAACAAGTATGTCTGCTCAGCTCCAGGTCCTTTTCCTGCTTCTCTGTCTGTGTGTGTGTGTGTGTGTGTTTATGTGTGTGTATTTGTTTAAGGTTCCTCTGCTGCTGCTGCTCTCACTTTTCTACAGACCTGCAGGTCCACCACACTCTTTTTCAAGCCCCAACTCTCTCTTATTATGTTAGTCCCTCCTCCTTCTCTAAAGACTCCCCACCTCTTTCTCTTCATCTCTGACTGATTTTTCTTTTCTTTCCTCCACTAAATGCTGAGCAATTATTGACAGGAAGCCCAGTATTCCTGGCATCGGGAAGAGCTCACTCATGCTCATCTGTTTTTCTGTGAAGCACTCATAAAATATTCCCGTAATTCTGACGAGGACATATCGTCATTTCACAGATTTTTCTTTTACAATTCCATTCAGGCTTGTACAGTAAGCTATTTATATTCATGTATGAAAGACAAAAAAAATATTTTCTCAAGACAGTTGAGCCCCATCAAATTTGGGCATTGACGCATAACACAATGGCCACCCAAAAACAGTAGTTATAGCAAAGTGCCGAGTTCCAGTTTAAGTTCATACAACTTTTCTCCATCTGATAAAAGTAAAACCTGACAAACTGGCACCCTGTATGTTAGGCAGATATTGGTTCTTCATCCTGACAGAGGACATAAAAATTAGAAATCTCAGCAAACCAATGCATTTTTATGTTTTTATTTTTGCTTTAGAAATGTTTGCTAATTCCAGAAGAGCTACCTCAGTATGCTGTGTTGTCCTCGTCAATCTCATTTTGTTTTCTTACCACGAATGTTCCAGGTGTTTTATAATCCTCAGGCCTCAATTGTTTAAGATGGATAAATTGTCTTTGTTAGTTGAGGAGAAGTTTGTTACCTCCACTTACTTACTTTTGCAATGTTTGCTTCACAGAGGATATTTGAATTATAAGAGTTCTTACTCTATCCTTTTTTCACTTACCATGTTGCAACCACACACACATTTCACATATTGCACAATAGGTAGATTTTCTTGGTGAAAAAAAATACCTTTTTTCAGACATCTTTTCCCAAACTCAGTGTTTTTTTTTCAGAACTAACATAGTTTGAAGTGATATGTTTTTTTTTTCAGGAACCAGCTTAAACCTGGGGTAAAAAAAATAAAATAAATTTAACATAATCTTGTTCCTGTTTCGCCTGAAAACTATTTAACCTTTTTACCAGAATGATTACACAGATTGAAAGATCAAACACACTGGGAAGATCCATGGAGGAAATACGAGTTTTTTCCCCTCTCTGAATCTCCATCCTTGTGCAAACATCTGGCTCTCGGAGGCAGAGGCAGCGCCTCGGCCTGCGAGTGAGGCAATGACTCACGCTCTGTTGGAGGTAGGCTGTGTGGTGTAATCAGATATAACTGCAGCTCCTGTGACTCTCAGGCAGGAGAAAAAAGGAGGGAGCTAAAAAATAACAGGAGGGGAGAAAGAAAGCTGAGATTTAGACTTTTGCCCCATGCAGAGATGGTGTGCAGGCTTTTGTTGGACTTTATGGATGAGATGTTTGCCTAAAAGCTTTTGTCTGTTTGTTTATATTGACACATCTGTCCGTCAGCGTCTCACCCTCGCTGTTTCTGTGGGCCCGTGATTGTGTCTGATGCGACACAATGTGGCTGGGAAATCAATGTAGACTGTGTTTGCCTGTTTGTGTTTGGTCAAACTGACTCTATAACTTTCTCATGGGAATTGCCAACACTCATCCTGCTGCCCCCACTCCATCCTTCTCTCTGCCTTTGTCTTTCTTGTGGTGTTTTTCTGTTTCTCCCACACAGGCCTACTGAAAAGCATGTGTTACTTGATTTCTTAACTTGAGAAGTGTTGTGTGTTTTTTTTGTTTCTGTGTAGTTGCGAGAAACATCGTTCTAAGAAAAAAAATTAAGATTAGCATCTCTGTTTTGGGTTTGCTGTAGTTTTTATAAGATTAATCTTTAAAGAAGCTTTAAAGAAATTTAATGCTTCCAGTTGCACTAATATACTGCTGCACACATTTCCAGAGAGAGATCTCTGACCATTTGTTCCTAGAGATCATCCATTCTCCTTCGTCCTCTCTTATCCTCTGTCACAGGTTTATGGTGGGATTTATACTTTGTATCAAAGTCTACACACAAAAAAAGATTAGCTAAATGCTCGTCCAGGTGGAGTGAATGCTGTCGGTCAATGATTCAATGCAATCTGCTGGGTTCCTTAAATGAAAAGTTCTTAATTAATTTGAGCAACAAACTGAACTTTACTGTATTATTTGGTCACTAGAATTGATTTGCATAACATGACCGTTTTTTGTAGTGTGCTGAAAAAACTTTGTGAATTGAAACTGTATTGATAAACTAAACTAAATAGAATTAAATTAATAATGAACTGCTTTTTTTTTAACTTCTTTCACCCTTTGTAGCTCTTTGTTTCAGATGAAGCAGTACATTTGACCAAATGAAATGCAGGTACAGACAATCTGATTTTACGATAGTTGCATTATTAGCCAACAGTTATTAGGCAATAATGACATGACGTCTACAGATGGTGACACTGCATAAACAATAAATTTGTGAAACATTTTCACAGCAGTGACCCTGATGATGAAGCAACTAGCAAAGGTGACAAAAATGTTGCCTCAAACATGTTGTGATGCAACAGATTGACTCTCTATGTCTATGCACAGATTTTAGTTTGAAGGGCACCACATGATTCAGCTTTAATGAATTTTTTCTGCTCAGGGGCACGAATAGGTTTAGCTCAACAGCTTTTGAGGAGAACTGATGAATATTGTGTTCAGATTCTTTGCAGAAATGAGATTAAGATAAATTTGTTCTGCTCAGATGGAGTTTGGTGTTTTACCATGGCGATACTCTGCTTGGGGTTTTTCCCCAGTGCAGCCAAAGAGCAGCACTAAAATTTTATCATTTTTACAATACAACCTATTTCAAAGATAGACAATATTCTAGCTTTTGCAATAAAATCTTTTTTTTTTTTTTTTGAGAACGTGTTTACACTTTCTGCCCAAAACCTCAGCTTGGAAAATATGAAAGTGTATAACCAAGACCAGAAGAGATTGGGCATCTTTGTCGTTACCCTAAAACAAAGAAGCAAGCAGGAAAATCTGAGTGTGGATTTGACTTTTTCAATTGGTTCCACATTGAAGCAGGAGGATCAAACAACAATACTGTTCCTATTTGTGGGATTTTGCAAGAAATCAATCAAGTTTCTGCAGTAAGAATTTTTTTATAATAATAGACGAATTCTGGCATTGTAACATGCAAAAAAATAAAGCCAAAAAAGTGAAGGAAATGGACATTTTTGACTAAACTTTGAAGAGAAACGTTCATAGGGGGTAAGAATGATTGATTTTAAACATTAACATTTAAGTCGAGCCTCAGCCAGTGAGGTTACTTAGGTTTTATCACAGGGAGGTAGAGCAGAAGGCAAACAGATGTTACACGCTTAAAGGCAGAGAAGAAACAGGTCTATTTGCTGTGAATTCAGTGTGTGATTGACTTGTATAAATATTTATCTTTTATTGCCATATAACTGCCACTTGAAGAGACGGTTAATCCAACTAAAACTGATCATAAGCGCGTAAGCAAAAAAAAAATATCTCTTCGGATTTTGTCTTTATTTAATAAACAAAACTAAACAAAGCAAAACACTTTATTTTTACATTTCACAAATATGTTATTTTTATTTTTTTCTAAATCGGATCCCTCTGACTGTATCGCCACCTGAGAGCAAGTGCTGAGTCAGCGGAAGTAGGAACTGTGTAATGTGGTATTTGTCATGGTCTGAAAACTGGAGGCTCGTGATGATAAGGAAAACTCATTAAGGATGGGACGGGGTTACAGTCATGTTGGTGAAAGTTCAAGCTGGTTGGTGAAAGAGTTACTCTGTGCATAAAGCACTGTGAATGGTCAGTTTGACTGGAAAGGAGCTCCATAAATTCATCCCAAGACCTTTTTACTAAGTGATAAAAGTTGTCCAAAACAGCCTGACTTTTTGAAGAAAAAGAAAAAAAAAAAGACCCTCCAAAACCTAAGAACTGTGTTAAATGCACTCCAGTTTTAATGGGACGCATGGCTTCTAAAACTTCCACATTTCACTTACAAATCCACAGAATATTCTCCCAAAAGAGGCATGATCAAGATATTTATTTGGGATATGTGAGCCAGGCCTTTGTGCTCTCTTTAGTCAACAATGGGATTTTTTTTTGTTTTTGAACTCACTGATGGATTCATTTTAATCCAATCTCTTTGTTATTGTTGATTTATAAACACTGAACTTACGGTAACCGAGGCAAGAAAAACTTCCAGTGCTTTTCATGTCATTCTGGGTTGTTTTGAAACCTTGTAGATAAATTGTCGATGTAGTAATTTTGGTAAGCTGGCTACTCCTTTTGGTTTTCTGGGTTCTTTTGGGGGTTGGGGGGTTCAGATTTATAGATGTCAATTCCTCTCTTTTATTGTTAATTTTTTATACTGAGGCATGATGTGTAGCATTTTGAGATTCCCTAGCCATTTGGTCAGTTCTTTTTAAGGGATTTCTTTATTCTACATGTCATGCAATTCACAGATTAATAAACAAATAATCTGTATTTTCACATCATTTCCTGGTTGGTTTTATTCATGTCTATCTTTTACAAAATCATCACATAAAGCTGCTTTTTGCTCTTTCTCAGGTTATCATTGTCTGATATTAACATCAGTTTGGTCATCTGAAACATTTAAGTGGGACAAAAATGCAAAAAGGGAAAGTTCTGTGTTAAGGCAAGTGATTTTTTTTCCACAAGACCACATATACTGTTCACCTGGAAATAGTTTTCCAAGTAATTTTTAGCGCTCTGGCTCTTGGATTGCATCCAGAGATTGAAGCAGAAATGTCAAACATTAAACTGAATGTTTGATTGTGTTTATGGTCTGGAATCAAATTCCTTAATGCCTTTATCATCTCTGCATGTTCTGGTTTGACTTATTGTTTCCTACATTGTGTGATGCTACTGTTTTAGACGGAAAGAGATTTAGGCAGGATCTGTAATGAGAAGTTGAATTTGTTTGGGTCGTTTTAGTCTGACCAGGTTGTTCTTAATGTATATGAGATACAGTTTCAGGGCTGTAAATATTTCATGCAGACTCTTGTCTCCTGTCTTTTAATGTACCTTTGAACAGATATTTTAGTCTTTTAACTGAAGCTTTATGGTTACGACCTGCTTTCTCTGTACTGTACATGTCGTCTTTTAAGATTATTTGTGTTGAATTGTGTTTGTGATATTTTGCACAAACACGCCGCAATGAGAGAGACTTTCTTATTGAAGGACAATGAGACGTAGTGTGTTATGGATAACTTTGTCCTTTTACATATTTTTTGGCATTAGTGTCCATATCTCACAGGAAATAGAGACGGAAAACTTGAAACAGGTTATGACTCAAACCTTGGTCATCTGTTGACGACAGAGAGTCTCTGAATCTATGGCATTGAGCAACACATTGCAGCAGAAAAATATTCATCCTTTTTAGTCATGTTACATTGCATCTTAATTACAAATTGAGCACACAACTTCTGAATGTCTTATTAATTGTTCAACTTCCCAGTGCCAGTTGCTTTAATTTATTACTGAGCAAAATGATAGCTCAGTGGTAAACTTGAACCTCTCAGGCCCAAATATTGATCCTATCAGGGCCTTTAGGTATGGAGCTTGTATGGTTTGTTCTTGCATGAATTAATTCTCTTTTAATAAACTCCAATAAATCTTCTGTTAGCCTTTGTAACTATAAAACCAGTTGAAATTTTCCACCATATTTGTACCATCACATAAATACTCATCAACTCCCTATTGCCTATAAAAGGAGTCAGTTTTATAAAAACTACCGTGCTCTACTTTTTTTAAAACTTAATTTTAGGACTTCATTCATTTTCTCCTACATTCTGTATTTGACACACAATCCGACTACATTTAAACATCGAATGTGAAGTATTACTTGTGGCGTGCCTTTCTATTATACCAGAGTTATTGTATAAAAAGCCTGAAAATCACCAATAATTCCCCCTTTATTTGAAAAAAAGAGTTTTTGTTTAGTGAAGTGGATCATTTAAAGATGTTTTATTGTCACATGGAGGCTATTGTGTAATCCTGTGGTTTTTGCAGGCCTGTAAGCCACTTTGCAAAGGCCTTCATGTCTGATCATGTGTCAACTTGACTGGATTCAACACAATAAAATGGGAAAATGATTATTTCTAAACAGTGGATATTATTTCATAGCTGGGAATCATATGTCTTGTGACTGCAATAAACAAGAAAGTTAGAGGTGAATTTTTTTTTTCTTCCTGTGGCCTGTTTTTTATTTTGATAGTCATGGTGATCAACACATTACACAGTGCCTGGCATTGTATTCAGGCCATTGGAATATACCCAAGATGGCCTTGGTAATTCTGGAGGAGTTGCAAAGATCTGCAACTCAGTTGGGAAAATCGGTTGACGGGTAACAGCAACACAATCCTCAAACCTGAGCTTTGTGAAACGTTGGCAGAAATATTTTTGTTCTTATTACTGAAAGAAAGCAGTAAGATTTCCCAAGGAGAAAGAGCACAGCAGTCATTTCATTAATTGAATTGATGGAATTATGTCTTAACAATGATATTTAAAAAATCATCTCACCATATTCTTTTCAAAGTATCCTTTTGCTTCTTTCAGAGGCAATGACTGCACTGTTTACAAACTCATTTAGTCATCTTCTTAAATACCCTTGTCCCATTCATGCCAACAGAAAAAGTGAAACTAAAAAATTAGCAAAATGCAACATATGTGTTTCTGCATAAAACAAAACAAAACATTGAATAAGGATGAGACCTTTTCTATTCAAACCAGGACAACTTCTATACAAAACTTTTCCTTTGGCAGTATTTCCGCTCTTTGTGCAAAGTACGCTGGTGTAGTTATTGTTTCCTCTTCGTGTGTTACAGGTAACCACATGATGCTACGTGTGCTGCCATCAGTTTACCCCAAACAGCCACACACTATCCACCGTCACCTGGGCAGCCTTACAGCAATGATGCTCCAGCTGGAGACACCTGAGCAACAACACCTGATCAGGCTTATTCAGATGGTTGCAGAGCAGCATCCACTGGTAAGTCCTTGTTTGTATTTATTTCAGAAGACAAGATTGTTTGGTGTTACTGGACATGTGGGAGTTTACAACGGGAGACTAAATGATATAAACTGAATGGAACAGAGGGACAGATCCGCCTGAAAAGGAGAATCCGTTTGTCTTGACTTTTCTATAAATTGTCTTTCTCTTTTACCGATAATATAACTTTTATGGTCAAAATGTATCAACGCTGCTTGTTGAAATACATGGGAGAAATATGCGGTGAGGCAGTGCAATGCCTCACCACTGGAGGCGCTGTGTCACACAGAGTGAATGACAGTAAGTTGACGATCTACTTGCTGTCATGTCCACTATGAGGACTAAATGCCTCTGGCACTTAAAGACTACACTTGGCCACTCAGCCTTCAGAACATTATTTCTCAATATTATGGATTTTCATACCAATATTGTTCTTGGTGTGAACAGCAGAACTTACTGTAATGAGTTTATTATTTTATCTTATGTATATTTTAAACAATTACTCCTATTAATCAAACCTAATCAGATTGTTGACCATTTAGCTGTTCTGTTTGCTGCATTGAGAACAATCCCCTAGAAAGCTAAATGGAGCTCATAAAATTGAGCGCTGCAAGGATACCTTTTATCCTGCATATGTTGGAGCACAGCCATTGTGATCCAACAGGAGGGGAATACCACATACCAGCAACAGAGCATGCAGTAGTAAAACACGCACAGTTTTATTCAGAGGAGAAACATCGACCATCTGGAGTTATTCTTATCCTCTCTCTTTTCTCACTTCACACACACGCAACATGCTCAGGAAAAATTGGCAATTGGATTGTTGCTGCGTCTGCCACAGTACTTGTGAAATGTTCTGCATTATAATGCCACTTACTGGAAGTGATGTCCTGGCAATGTTAAAAATGATACATACCTCATATGGGATACATTTTTAGTTGTTGTCCTCTGTCTTTTTGAGGGACAAATTGTTGTTGGATTTAGTCTATTTCTTAGAAAACGTGACTCATTATGGAGCAGCAACAGAGTAGACAATAGTGGGCTTTCAGTCTAGTGCCTCCCAGTGTGATCAGCTCAGATAATGAGTAGGAACTCTTCATTTATTCAGTTTGCTCAGAAAGTCCTATCAGCACTCCGCCCTCTATATTTCAGATGAAAGAGCTAGAGCTCAGAATTTGTGTTTGCTTTATGAGTACAGAGCGCTGAAGCTGAGTCATGAATTAATGATATATATTTCTTGTAATTTTTTTGGGCTTTGTTTCTCCTAATCCCTGCAGATGCTGAGCACACATGTGCCCACACTGGTCAATTACCTGAGTGAGCCCACTCTGACTGAGGCTTTGTTGGGAGCTCTTGTGGATGTTTCCAAGGCCAGCCCTTCGTCACTGGTCAGCTTTTTACCAGCACTAAGGATGGTGGGACAGCAGTCTGCTGCTTTTCTCAGTCATGTAGCCAAAATCCATGGTGCCGTTGGCATCCTGAGTGAGGTAATACACACAGAGACACAATCAAAATGTTAAATTGATAAAGGAGATACAGAATGGAGAGCATGCAGGTCTTTTACATGAGGGACTCATGCTTAAGAAAAGGAGAAACAAAAACCATCCATTCAGAAGAAAAAAAGAGAGTTGCTAGAACTAATTGAGTACAAATTTTTCCCGTGTTTCACAATACTACAAGATGTTCAGGCATGTCTTCAGTAAAACAGTGATGTTACCAGTGAAATGTCCATGTAGACTTACTCTGGTACAGCTTTAGATGAGCATTAATTTGGGTCTAGTAAGAAAGTTCAAAGAAAGTTGTAAGACATCCTGTTTGCAGTTTGTAAAAAGCAGCATAGGGAATACAATACACAAATGGGAGAAGCGTCAGATCAAATTTGAACTTTCTTGCTTTCATGGAAAATGCTTTGTGCGGTGGAAGACACTGGACATGCACACACCGTCCACATTATTAGTGATGCATGGGGGTGACAGCATGAAGCTGTGGGAATTTTTATCTTTCAAAGGGAAAACTGGTCACAGTCGATGAATAGAGTTAAGCATACACCAACGCTAAAAGAATAGGTCTTCCGAACCCCTTGGACTGAGACTGTGCTGCAGGGCGTAAAAATTTATTTTTTCAGACATTTTCCGGCCAAGACAAATTAGCTTTTGGAAAGAATAAAGGGCAAATCTTATTATCCCTAGATGTCAAAACTAATGCCAAAGACCGTTAGCTGAAACTGCAGAGAAGGGTGTTCTCCAAAGTTCTGTAGGATCTGGGTTGGTTTATCAACATAAATATATATATATTTTTGCAACCTCATAAATATATATTCCAGGCACCATTTAAAAAAGGAAAGCACTCACCACAAACAGTTATTAATTGAATAAGGGGGGAAGAATGTCATGCACAATCATATGGCTTCTTCTGTGTTATGCTGCCAAGTGTGAAACTCAACATTTCACAGTGCACATGGCAGATCTGAAGGTTTACGACCTGACTTTGTGGTCAATGAAAGTTTCCTGAACAAACACAGACTCAGGCCTTTGACAGATCAGAAACTGTTATCCAGGTTAGAGGTCATGATTCAATCATGAGGAGGTCACAGGTCAAAAATGGCGTCAATGAGACAAAAGTTCTCCCCCGTCAAAACACCTGTATTTACTGCATCTGATAAAGTAAATCACCATGTCCTGTTACTGTCTTATTTTTACTCTGTTCTGTTACAGAACAGAGTTCAGAAAAGGTTAAAATCACATACTAAATTTCAGGAACAGTATTTTTCCACTTGTCTATGTTTGCTCTCATTTGTTGTGAGGGCTAAGATTAGGATCTCCTGTGTGACATGAGTTAATCTTTTCAAATGTTTGGCTCATTTCTGTAAAGGCAAGTTTAGCACTTAATCAATCACCATACAGTTATGTCAGGGAAGGTTTTCCTCTGGATAAAAAAATAACTGTCTCAGGAAGAAGAATGGCATTCAGGTCTCAGGGTTCCCCTTTCTCTCCTCTCTCAGGTTTAGTTAGCGCAGCTTAAATGTGATTTGGGACAATTAGCCACAGGGGAATACATATTACTCTGCAGATGAGATATTTTCTGTCCACATACACATCGCAAGGTATTTTTGCAGATCCTGTAAACACATGCACAGACCTCTCCAGGGCAACATTTCCTTTAAAAGCTGCCTCCTGCTCACTTTTCTTGTCAAGCAGCCTGCCAACCCAACTTCGTCACACCCTCAAATGCACCCGCGCCCACTCACACACACCCGCACACAAGGGTTTTTCAGACCACGGTGTCCTGCCTTTCTTCACCTTAGAACTATTTGGAAAATAACGCTTGTTTTCTGAAAATGCTCCTGCAGAGGCCTCTTGGTGATGGCAGTGGGGAATGCCTCCTGTGCCCTGCATGCATGCGCACTCATAAACACACGTTTAAAAGAACACATGCATGCGGGATGAACTCGCTCTCGATTGCACAACTGTTTCCCTTTCTTCCTCGACCCCCTCGAAGGGAGCTCAGGCTTGATTCTGTGTGTGGCTCTATTGCTTGTTAGATCAGAATATATCACTAGTGAAGGAAACACTATACACTGCAAAAAGTCCAGTCCAACAGTTTTTGAAATAAATATGCCATCTGATTATAATAATAGTGATAATTCTTCCATGCTGTTGAAGGGGTTGGTGAGAACATGTGCTTATTTTAAAGCTTTCAGTAACTTATCGTGTTGCTCAGTTTTTGCCAAGTTTTCGTTAAGCGTCAAGGTACATTTATTACAATTTTAATAATTGAATTAGCAGTATTTTTAATGAATATAAAACCATGTCTGCTTATTTGGTGTGCAAATAAGCCGATATGAGCGTTCTATTTTTCATGTTTGACTTTTGGACCACAGTTACTTGCAAGCAATTTGGATATAACGAAGGATCGTTGTTTGTAATTCTGACTGACTTTTGATGGTTTATAAATGGTATTCAAATAAATATATGTATGGTTAGCATTTGCATTTAGACATTTGGGATGTGTAATTCTTTTCCTCTCCGAATGATTTTGTATTTTTGTGTTATGTAGACTTCAAAAAAATTTAATTAAATTGAGCTTTTTCTAAAACTGAAAGGTCTGTGTCGAACACAAAGTAGTTTGTTCATTTCATTTTTGTTTTTAAATAAGTAGAACCAGAAATATCCAGTAATGGTCACTCAAAAGCAGATTTGGATTTACCTATTCCTTAAATCTGGCTACATCAAGGACTATATATGCAAACCAAGACAACAGAAAACAACTGACCCAGAAAATTTGAATGTCTTTCTCTTCATAAGGTAAATATGTGCTTTTGATCCATGACTTACCAGTCTTTTTTTTTTTAACGAGTTCAGATTGAGCTGCAGATATTAAATGTTCAAATATTACCATAGATTCCTATTTTGATAAAACATCACCTCTGCATCCCATAATGTTCTGCAGAAGGGATGGCGTCATGTGGAGGGTTTTTTTCTGCCACGTATATTGTTTTATATGTAGACCAGAAAGTTCAGTACTGATACCATCTGACCTCTTCTTCAGCATCTTCACTGTCCACTTGCGGCAAACTTTAAATGAAGATTCTTTTTTTTTTTTTAACAATAATTAGCTTTGATCCACACTTGAGTGTCTGTGCAGTGTCCAACAAACTGACCAGCAGTGGATTGTGCCAATGAATTAAATTATTTTTAAGTAGCTTTCTCTATAAAAGTGTCCATAATCTGATAAATAATTCCCCCTGTTGCCAATACTGAACTTTTCCCAGAAGACAATAGCAAAACATCCCAGAAGTAAGTTATAAGTTCTGTTTTAATATGATGTCAAGGTTTCTTAAGGGGATGATTATGTTTCACTTTTACTGAAAGGAGGATTATTTTTCACTCTCTGAAATCCCTCACGAATCTGAAAGATTTATATTTTGTTCAGAGGAATATCTGGTTACATTTTTAAAATATTCCCATAGAGCACATCTACTACATGAAAAATGTCTATGAAACCTAAAAAAATCCTGTTTGGACGGGATTAGGAAAAAACTAAAACGTTAATGAACCAAACACTATAACTCACACAAAATATAGGATTCATTCCTGTTCCTTAACCTAATACTTTATAAAGATTGGATTATTTGGTTCACAGCTGAGCACATGCCTGAAAAACACAATAATAATAGATAGAGTTGACACAAATGTTGACACAAAAAAGTTTGTCTACGATGGATACATTCATTTAAATTCAGTACAGTTTATAAAAAGCCATTTTACAACAAATGCAGCCTTGAGGCACTTATAAACAAATTATTTCAATTCAATCATTCAATCAATGCAGATTTCCTTTAACAGTATGTCCAGTTCAGAAGCTCTCCAGAGAGATAAAATGCTTTGCAGATGACTTTAATCATGCTGCATTTCTAGTTCTTTTTGCTCCAAACACATCGTCACTGGTTTGGTCTTAGTTTCAGGCTAAAATCCTCATGTCAGGGTAATATTAAGTATTTTCCCTGAGTGTCCTCTTGAGACAAGATAGTTGATATTATAATTTGACCCTTGTTGTGCTGCCACAATGTTTAGAAACTTATAATTAAAAAGCTGTTTACACTGATTAGTGATCTCTTGCATAAGAATTTAGCCGAAACTAAGCGGATGCTTAGGATGCTGATTCCTTGCCAAGTGCTTCTAAATAATTATACAGCGAATCATTTGCTGTGTTACGATGGAGGCCTAGCATAATACACATGTATTGATGTTTTGTTTAAAGCAATATGGTTTTGTTTTAAACGAAAATCAAACTGCAATCTGTGTGAATAGAAATCCTTCTATTCTTTTTACCTCCAGCCTGAGCTGCAGGCGAGCTTCTGACTCATTTATGGGCTAAACTCTTGCAAATCCTTGTGGCACATTACCAAAGTCTAAGGTCAAGTTCTACATATTCTACTCTTCTTAGGATCAGTGAATACATTTATGGCTCTGTGGAGAGTGCTTATGAAAGGTGCCAGATGTAGCTTCGTCCTTCTCAACTCATTACTCTGTGTTTTAAAATATGTAAGCAGATTTTGGCTCTGTTTTCATATCTGGCCTTATTTAGAAAAAAAAAAAAGAAAAGTTGTTTAATAGGTTTCATTGTGGTTTTTTTTTCAAGAAAAGGTTTCATTTGTGTCACCATATGAATGCTTTGACCTGAGAGAGAACTGTTGTGTTTCTCGCATCTGTTCTGATTACTGTGATTTCAGTCTTGGTTAGCTTTTGGGCTGGAAGAAAATCAAGTGTCTGCGATTCAAATATCAAACTTTCTCAGACAGGTGTGAACAACCGTCCCTTGAATTGACGAAGCCAGAAGCCGCTTTGCGTCAGCACTGGGCGGGTTGAACAGGAGATAAACAATAGCACACAGAGGATGATGAAATATGAATATTATTACAAAGACCCCTTGCTAAGAAATCACATTTGGACAATGAAGGAGTTTATACTTTCTCAGCTTGCAGAGAGCTTGCTGCATGAGCTTGTGTTTATTATAGTTTGTCATAATTTAGGAAGAAAAGAGCAGAGAGCAGGGCCGACCTCCAACCTGGCTGGAAGTGCAAAACTAATCACATTTAAAATCACCTATTTAGCAAGAGAGATTTCTTGTTTCTCTATAAATTCCCAAGCTGTGACACTGGATGTTATAAAACCGATCTTGTTATTAATTCAGTTATTAGTTTTTCTTCCTCTAATGTACCTACTTTAAACATTTGTATGTTTGCTACCAAACTGTACGCTTGCTGATTTCTGTTGCCCCCTTCCTCCAGACCCACGCCCACAGCTCATTGGTCTACCTGGTGTCCCTCCTGGGCAGTATGGAGCACAGCTTTCACCACACCTTGCTGCAGGAGATCAGAGCTCTGACTGACAGATACCCATCGTTACTGGGAGGCTGTGGGAAAGACATCTACAGAATGAGCAACTCATTCACTGCCATAGCCAGAGTGTTGGAAAGACGACTGGAGGATAAAACCTCCCTTCACTGCAGGTTGGAAATGATGTGAAAACGACGGCAAGCAAACACTGAATCTTATTAACTTAGACTGTAGTCTGTCTGCACTAATCAGATCATTTCTGTGACAATTTTATCAATAAGTCTGAATGCGGGTGGTTCTGTACACTGATTTTTCTTCGTTCGGTGTTTGCTGCGCATCCAAAGCTGGAAAAATGTTTGATGTGTGCAGGTTAACAAAGATTTAAAGATTTGAAAACCACACAAAACTGTAATAAGTCAGCTTTTTGTAACTCAAAAATAATCTTGAGTTACAAAATACACACAATAATGCGGCACCTAGAAGTAAAAAATTAAATATCAAATCAAAGAAACTGTCAGGAATGGACCCGAATATTTTGACAATCAGAAATGAACAATCTAAATCTCTTGAAGGGTGGAAGAGGCATGTGCATCTTCAGGTGGAAGTCTTCCTGCTGGTCGAGGAGGAGGGACATCATCTGAGCAGCGACTGCAGGTAAAAGTCCAGAATGTTGACGAGAAAACGCAAAATGTGGGAACGACAGAGGAGGAAGGGGAGGAGTCTCCTTCGCAGCAGAGACGCCACAGCCTGAGCCAAGGCGTCAGGGAGGAGAAACGGGAGATGAGATTCAACAGGTCAGTTTCTGATGGTGCATCAAATCATTTGTTTAACTTGGTGAATGGAACAATGTTCTTAGAAGGCACCATAATGAAACATGTATTTCTCTGGAGGAATTAGTTGCAGCAACTAAAATATTAAACGGGAAAGAGAATTAACACATCTATATCTGATCAAATCTCATTTTCAAACAGTATGGCCACTAAAAATGTTACAACAAAGGTCATGTTACAGGTGGAATTGCTTAACGTTATGATTACAGGAGACCTTTGTTAAAACAAAGATAATAGTTTAAGTTTAAGTAATTTAAGTTTGATATTTTCTTCATTTATTTAATTTTCTGACCTTCAACAGATCAAAGAGCCTGGCTCTTCATATTGTGCGTTCACGGTCCATCAGCTCAGATACAGGAGAGGACAGCGAAGCTGTAGAGCCGACCACAGAGAGCTGCGCTTCCGATGCTCAGTCCAATCGGCCCTCAGACAGCCGCGAAGTCTCACCGGCAGAAAAGACGCTGACAAGTGACAACTCCCTGTCTGTCACGGTGGAAAAAAAGGAGGTGGAAAAAGCTGAGATTAAAGATGTGGACGGAGAGGGAGCAGAACTGGAGCAAACTGACAGACTCTTCATCCATTTAAGAGACAATATGGAGACGATCAGGGAGTTCTGCAAAGACATGGTGAAGCGGATCCCGGTCCCAGAGCAGTGTGTGATTGAAGGTAAAGTGAGTGATTCCTAACAGGTTTTCTACAACCAGACCTTTAAGTGCCATGTGCCGCAAAAATATTGATGAAGCTTAAGCTTTACCACAAGATTTATTTTCTAGAGATTTTATTTTACAGACCAAGAAAAAGGGATGCATTATTATGAAGGTGAACGAAGCTGAAAGATTTTTCATTTCTTTTCTTTTACAAGTAAGAGAGTCGGAAATGTTGCATATTTGCCTTTATTTAGAGTAAATATTTCTGGTTTGGATTGTTGCCATTGCTAAGTAGCCTAACTCCTCTCTAAACTTCTCAACAACTTTGTTGATTTATTGATCTTCATGATGCCGTCTGTTCATTAAAATTACACAACTAACCCACGATATGTTCACAGAACACATGCATTTTAGTGAACGATCAGTGGCACTGGATTGTGCTTTCATTTAGATTTTTATTCGTCTCCCTCTAGATAATTATGCTTCTCCATTGGAATGGAAAATCACATTAAATCCTAATAAAATAATTTGAGATTTGTCCTGCCAGTTTTAGATCTCTCTGTTGATTGAATCTTCACAGCTCAAGTAAATGGTCCAACTAGCTCCTCTCATATTGTAAACTTCAGTGGAGGTCTGCTAACGAACCATCATTTGAGTCAGATGTGTTGAACCGGGAAAACAAATAAAACTTACCAACCCTTGGGGATTGACTCTGGACACCACTGGTTTAAGATTGCATTGTACATCGTTTTCCATGAAGTACTACAGAACTGGAATGAGCTCAAGTACTAGAATAAACTGTGGTGCAGTAAGTATAAAAATGATGGTGCGAAGATTTGCCAGAAAGGGGACAGTGGAGATTTTACGTAACGTCCTGAAACTAAAAGAGTTGATAGTTACATGTGGTGACAGGTGTTGACTAATGGTGTGTTATGAAAACACCTGAGTTTCTCCTCCAACTCTTGGCTGATTAGTTGCACTTTAGATCCAAATAGACAGATGTATTTCTCATGAGTCTTGATCCCCCAATTATTTTCTATCTTGTTTGTTGAGACACCTCTTGCCTCTCTGAGATCTGTTTCCATTTACTATGTATGACCACATCAGGTAGGGATAAGGCTCACATGATGTCCCTGTAGTTTATCTTTGTCCTTTATGCACTACCTCCTGCAGTTTGGCTTCCTCCAACTCTTTACCTTGATCTGTCTACACTTAATGTGAAATATGCAATATTCACAGATTTTTTCAAAGGCTTCACGTTGATTTGAAACATGTGTACATTACAGCACAGAGTAACTATGAGCAGTCTTTATTTACTGGAGGAAATAGAAACATCTAAATCATAGCAACTATACCAGGTCTGGATTTCTGCGTTCAGGTTGTTCTGCAGACCTAAAAAGTTACTAATTCAAATCCACTAAAACTTCCTGACATACTTTGCTTGTGATCTAAGTTGTTTTTTGTTTTTTTGCTGGTTGGTATAAAGTCTAAAACAGTGTTATAGTATGATGTCTAAAAAGAGGAATTTCTTCATGTAAACTTTGCACAAAAAGCATTTTAGTTGTTTAATCAGTGCCACATTTTTAAGGAAAATGCTTTTGTGAGTTGAACAATAGAGTGGAGTTTGTGGGTTACACCCTTGAAAAACTGACAACACCTAACAGCTTAACCTGATATTTACCGTTGTTTGATATTGTTTATTGTATTTAGCAAACATGCGCCTCAGTTATGAGTCAGGAAACCATAAACAACCACAGTGGCTCGTCTCCTGTTCCTCAAGCTGTTCACTGGTTTGGTCTGACAAGCCATTCTGCCAAATCTCGTCTCTACATTGAGAAAGCCTCTAACGGCTGCTGAACCGCCTGCAGCATCTTAAATCACTGTAGACAGCATTGATAATTGATTTAGCCTGTATAAACTTCACGTCGTGTTTTTTTTCTCTTTGTTGTTAAAGTTCTTGCCAGATTTTTCCTCCACATGTAGGAACTGTAGGGTTCAGTCTCCCATCCACCTTTAGAGGACCCAAAAAAATGCCCAATGTTTACTTTCTTGCCGTCTTCCAAATGTAAACATCAAAATATAATTTCATGAAGGCATCTGAAGCACACGTACACAATTTCAGTTTTTATAAGGGGATGGTCGTGTGCATCCTGAACCCCCTGCTAATTTTGAGTGTATCTTTTATATACTAGAAACTCTCACTCTGATCTGATCAGCCAATATGTGTAGTAATGCTGCTTTAAAGCTGGCCAGAGACAATTTGTCAGAGAATACATAATGAAACAGGGGTGATTAACAGAGTCTTTAATTAGGTGCTCACATGTGGAAAAACACCCACCCAGTAAGAAGTGAGTGGCATAAGAATTGCCCGTGACACTAAGTTGAAACAGATGAAGGTAATGTAATGCAAAGTATGAACAGGCATGAGTATATGGAAGCGGTTTCTGTGTGCCTGCAGACTCTCCAGCCAACACAGAGCAGAAACAAAGAGTTCAAGAGGTTCACATGAATAAAACAATGAAATGAGAAACGGCTCTGCATCCAAATCTAATCCGCTTTCACGTGTTGTCAGTCATCTTTCGCATATTTAGGGATCAGATATTTCATAGACATTTATATTTGATTACGTTTGCTTATTTTCATTTTTCTAATCAATTTGATTCACATAAATCAAACCTTGGCTGGCATGTTTTAACCAAGCTCATCATATTTTTTATTTCTGCTTTTGAAGGGGTTTGTTTTTGCTGCAGCTTCGCAACGTGTAATGTTAGTGAAATTATGAGAACATGGTATTTGACAGATGGACCGAAGAGCAGATATCCTGAATGAAATGAAAATCACATACAGAATTAAAGACCTAACTATTTGCAACCAGGCAAACATTTCTACTCATAGTTGCAGTTTTTCTGTTCTTAAACATTTGCAAGTGGTAGATTCCATTAAACACAGGTAGACCCAAATATGGATGATCGCGACAACCTGAGACGATGATAATTTGAGTGAAGTAAATTTTATAATCAGTTCATTTTGGTCATTGTATCTCATAGTGGTCAAGAGTAAAACAGCACCCAAAACACTTTGTGCATTCTCATACATGAAAGAAAATGAAACTAATAAAATCTTCTCTGAACTCTGGTAATCTGATGAAATCTAGAAAGAAATGTCAAGCCTGGCACTCTAAAAACACTCTTTATTCCTTCTGTGAATGTATTCTCTTAGTATTAATGACAATCGACACCGGGGCTTGCAGCCCAGCTCCTATCAGAGCTGCTTTATCAGAACTGCATCACACTGAGCGTTTAATGTAAACAATGGAAAGGATGAGTCACACACAGTTTCATGATGATGCTACAGCGAAAGACAACTTCATCTGGACTTGCTTGTTGGACTTACTCTGTCCATCCCTTGGTCTTTTCTCTGCTTTAACCTTTTGGTTATGATGGTGTAATGTTAGGACTTGTAGACAAAATACTCTAGCGCAGAAATCAGTGAACCAATATGATTGGATACATTCACTGACGGTGCTGACAGCCTGTTTTATGTGTCAAGGTAACAAGATTAGTTTGACCTGTATGAGTTGCATTATTAGACCACAGAACCTGAGTTGAGGGTTACATCAGCTGGTTAGATCAATTGAACTTCTATTTAGCTTACAATGTGACTCGGGATCCCATCTGTTGTTTCATTTTATTTTTCTTTATGAGCCCACAGGATTTCTCGGCAGTGTCAAAATATTTTCTTTTTCCCCGAATGTTTTGGGAGGCGATTGTCGAAGGAAAAGACTTTTTATGATGATTTAGATGTGGTGTAATTCTTGGGTATAATTCCCATAACTCTGTTACCGAGCTGAGCTGTTGATGTTTAGCGTTCAGAGAAGTATAAACACGAAGAGAAAGATGTTTAAATACAAAATAACTGCAAATGTTTACATACTCCTGTCCAGTTCTTCCAGTTAAGTTTTTTTTTATTACCATGACCAATAAGATTGTGAATGTATATATATCTGCTGCAATTTTTTTTAATTTGGTGTTGACGTTTGGTGTTTTTTTGCAACAGATTCAAATCGAGTCTGCGTAGCCAAGCTCTCGTTTTCCTGTCCCCTGAAGGGCTACTACTGCCTGTACGCCAAATCCAGTTTCCTCCTGACCAGCCAACAGCCTCACCTTTGGATTCACATCATGCTGTTGCATCTGCAGGTTCAACCAAGTCACCACTCTGCATGCATGATAACTAAAGTACATTTAATGTGTGCTATAGCATGTGTAATCCAGCTAAACAAATACCCAAATAATTGATTTTGAGTTAAAACAAAATTTAAAAAAACTTTAACAGCTTGTGACAGTAAGTTTGTACTTTTTAGAGTCACATTTTGACTCTGCAACCTTTCGTTCATGACTGTGTGGTTTGGCTCAGCAACAAAAATGGACAGGTCCAAACTGCGACAAGCAACTAATAAAAAGGAATTTCCTCGTTTGTGTTCATGAGTTTGGAGAATAAAGCTGACATTGTTGTGACACAAAAACTCGCCATCTTAAAAAGGGGTCAGTTAAACTCATTTTCATGCACTGTAGATTTTTCCCTGTGTTTAATTTTGTATCTGGTTTCAACAGAGTAAGTCAAGTGCCACTCTGAGCAGCAGAGACAAAAGTGTCGAAAGATTAGCTTCTCTTTGGGAGAAGACGCAGCTGAAAGGATCACACAGCTTTTCCATGGCCATGACACAACAATCCACCCCACAAAGAAAGGTAAATTTATATATATATTCACCGTATATATATCCATATGTATATGTTTGTATATGTGCATGTATGTGTGTGTCAAAAACAAATATATAGACACACATATAAAGTGTGTGTGTGCTGTGTGTTCCCAGCAGTGGGACTGATATCATCATCACAAAGTGTGAACGTCATTTGTATTTACATTTTGACTCTGGTAAATGGACATTTCTTGATACAAGTCCTCGCCTCGCTCTCAGTCATTTTTATCATGTCTGTTTGTTACTCCATGCAGCTCAAAGTCAAGCCACACAGAGAAGTCGTGTGTTTCGGTATATGTGTAGATTTTACTATGCGTTTGCTATCCTGTGGTCGTGGGAAGCTCTTTTTGAAAATGTCACAACGTCAGGGGTCATTACTAAATGATTACAGCTACAAAGAAACCACATCTGTCCTTTCTCCCACTTTAAGCATACAGTTTCGGTGCAACCAGCTTAGTTTAGGCTATGGGCCCTGAAGTTACTCACACATGTGTCCAACTTCACTGAACAGAGAAAAGCAATGTCTTCAGTGTCATATCAAAGACAATGCAAAGTTTAAGCTATTTAGCTCGAGGAGCCTTTTAAACTTGACGACGCTGTACCAAATGTCCAGCATGGAGGTGGTCGCATCATGCTGGGGGTCTTTTATGCGACTTGCAGTCCCTGTGCATTGTTCAAGATGAACAGAATTGAATGTCTGAAGAGGACATTGATCTCAAATGCACTTCAGGATAAATTTTTGATAAACAACTTAAGCTTGTGGCACAGATTGGTAACCAGAAACACGTTTGGTGCAAAGAAGTGGAAGAATTGGCTGTGGCTACATCCCTGTTTATTTCTTTAAAATTAGTGTGGCCTCTTTCTCTGGGAGCAAAACAGCCAAAAAGAAGACAAGACTTAACAAGAGAGAAGAAGGAAGAAGGTCACAACCTTTTTATATGCGCAGCATTTCCTCTTTCCCTCCATCTTTCCTTCCCAATCAGGTCCACAGTTTCTCTCCGGGACCTGAGAGACAATCAGAACCATATGTCGGACATGTATATGTAAGGCAGAAAAGGTTAGCAATTACATCTGTATCAGCAGGGAGATTTAAAGGGAGGCTGCAAAGCTTTATGGAGCTTCTGTGATTTAAGAGAGGACTTATGTTTGGCTTCTGACAACTTACTTTAAGCAGTTTTATGGTCCAGAGAAAACAGAAAGCTGGTGGAAGACAAAATGAGAAACATGAAGGGAGGTAAAGACAACAAGGTGGAGAGCTGGTGATGGATTGGAGAAGACAGGAAGCATGAAAAAGGAGGGCCTGATGGAGATAGAGTAATAATTAAAACTGTGGATTAAGCTGCAATAGATCTTTTGTTTGCAGGTCTTTAAGCACAAGAAAATATAGAGGAAAAAATAAATGACAGGAATGAAGGTAAGAAGTAGCATAAATAAAGTTAGAATAATATATAGCCATGGAAACCAAAAGAAATAGGAGGAGACTGAAGGGAGAAGGGGTAGTGTTGTTTGACCTTCTGTTTCCTTGGTTTGTTTGTCTGTGGAAGAGGAAAAAATGGGTGGAAAGTGGGTTACATGGCGATAAAGAGTGAGCTCAAGCTGATCAGATAAAGATGTTTAGGGACATGCAATTCCTCCATGTGCCCTTTTAAAAAAGCTTTTAGTGTCTTTCATTGACTTTCATTTATGAAATCTAATTGTCCAAGGAGGCAGAAATGAAGCCTGTTTCTCGTCTGAGATCCTCTCAACAGTTTCAGATAAACTTATGTGATCTCATCATCTTTGCTTGTTTCTCATATAAATACTTCCAAGATTTGTGCGCATCCGAAACATATATGTAAAGTAAACATGGACATGTGGTTCATAAATGGTATCGAAGTGTATTTGTGCTGAATCAGGGCAGCACATGCTCATTTTGTGGAAGTACTTAAAGTTTTTTATCTTTATTTAGAAGATAAAAAAACTTTATCTTCTAAAAAGTTTAGAAGATAAAGTTTTGGGACCTATAAGAAGCAGTCGGTCCTCACAACTTATCGTTTGTTGGAAAAACGGGCCTTACAAGGTGATAAACACATTCACTCTTTAACATAAAGTTAAAGAGTGGATGGAGGCAGACAGATGCTGACTAGGTGCCGTAGGGAATGGAGACATTATGTTTGTTGTTTCTTTATGTCTTTATTAGAATGATTTATCTTTCTTCCCGGATGAATCAAAAATACTGTGTTGTTTCACAGCTCAGCAGAATGATTGTCACGCAGGATCTTTGAAGTTTCTTCTAAATATACAGTGATGTACTTTTCATTTGACCGGCATGCTGTGTTGCTTAACTTTTTTCTAGTAGTGGGTTCAGAAGTAAATGAGTGCCATCTTGCTCATTTTGCTGTTGTGAAATAATTCATTCCTAAATGTGTTCTGTTGCAAATTTATGTTCCAGTTTTGCATTCTTGGTCAGTTTCTGGCTGACACATTGTTTTTACTACAAATTGGAAACAATAATCAAGTTTGTTTTTGTTTTTTCATTCAAACTTGTAAGCACTATAAAACCGTACATCTTCTTTATGATTAATCTTTTTTTTCCCACACGTCCTGCCTCGGCATTGCAGGCGTACCATTTAAAGAACGAGGTTGCAAGGTATTGTGTTCCTTGCCAAAAGTATATCTGGGAATGTATATCCTGATTCTATGATTGATGTTATTACATCGGGATCGCTCCTGGCATTAAAGAAGACAGCTTGCATAATAAAATATGAGCATGACCTTCAACCTTTTGGTCTGTGTACGTCTTTCTTTTAAAGTTCAGTCATTGAAATAATAATAATTGTGCTCTACTTCTTGATATGAAGGGGAAAGTAATAAATATTATATAGTAGAGTTTGAGGTATTAGCAAGAGTAGACAAGTATGAAAACACAAAATGTCTGGCTTAAAAAATAAATTGCCTTTTTGTTAATTTAATATTGAAAACATGGAAAAAATTACTTTCCTAACTATTTCCTGTTCTGTTTTCTAAAAGAGAAAATCATGAAATGACATAGTCATGAATGGCATCTTGCAGATAACATATTCCAGATTTTCCGTGATGCTGGTTGCTTGTAACTCTGATGAATTTTTATTAAACTGAATCCCAGCTTCAAAGCTGTTCTCCTCAGTGTCTCAAACTGCATTCCTCCAGGGCAAAGCCCTGCGTCTTAGATGTGTCGCTTGGCCTACACACTTGAATCAAATGGCGAATTGCATCACTAGCATCCAGTCAGCTCTGCAGCGCTCTTCTAATGAGCTGATATTGGAGCCAGGTGCGCTGAAGCTGAGAACCGTAAAAGGCTGGAGGACGTCGGCTGTTGAGGAATGCAGTTTGAGAGCCCTGCGGTGGAATCAGCAGGACAGTGAATGTACTACTTTGACTGTCGAAGAATCAATTAGGGATGCCCAATCCAGATTCTTATCCTCAAAAATAAATCCAAGTCATTTAAGAACATAACGCTGTTATTTTGTTAAAGTTTCCATAATAAGTTCTATTGATGTGGTATAAACTCAGTGACCTGGAAGTGCAGTAAAATAAAATTTCATCAGACGTAACTCACTCACCAATAACATTTGCTGCACTCCTTCATATTCTGCTTTGTGTTTTTCCATTTCCAGGCAGTGACTAATATTTTCTCCCAGGAGTTTCTGCTGGGAGAAAATATCAGTCAGAATATACATGTTCTGACCTCACAGATGTCTGTTTTATCCTCACATGGTTTATTTGTATCCACAATCAGACTTCCCTTGGCTATTTAGGGAGGTCTGATAGCAAAAAAGAGGAAGCTCTGATATTACTCTGTGCGTGTGTTTAACATTTATCACTTTGTAAGGCCCGTTTTTCCAACAAACGATAAGTTGTGAGGACCGACTGCTTCTTATGGGTCCCAAAACGAAAAGAACAGTAAAAGAAGAAGTACTGTTCTGGGTTCGGTTTAGAGTCAGGCCTGTACAGGTAACAGTTACATTTGGGGTAAAGATCAGGGTTAGTGTATAGAAATGAATGTGAAAGGTCTGGATTTGGTTGGTCCTAATAGATATAAAACCTGTTTTCTCATTTTTCATCTTCAGGACCTGGACAACCTTCACATCCAGCTGGAGGAGGTGCGCTTCTTTGACCTGTTTGGGTTCAGCGAAGAGGAGGGGGGCTGGCTTTGCTTCATGTGCAACAACCCTGAGAAGGCCACAGGTGAACACACACACACACACACACACACACACACACACATCGGGCAGTTCTTGTTCGTTCATGTCTCGGCCCGTCATATTGCTCCGCTTATCTTGCTCACCATGTTCTGCTGTCTTCCCTAAATCAAGCACAGGCTTTTGAGAGAGCGCTTTCTCATTTCTTGTCATCTCACTGCCAGTCTTGAGTAAAGATGTTTCTCAGTAGGATGTTTTCACTCAAACTTTCTGAGAGGAAACCAATCTTTTCTCAAAGAAATTTCTCTTATATACTATAAAGAAGGTAGACACTGGATTCAAAAGGCTGTTTCATCACACGGGTGTATCTACCTCCTTTATTATTGTTTTGTTAGTCAAGCACAGACATTTGTATTTCTAAAGTTGTCTCTGTTCGGAAAAATAACTCTAGGTTACAAAAAGAGCCTAAAAGGGATTTTCATAAATACGAGATTCAAACAGAAAAAAACAAACAACTAAAGACTTTAGAGAAAACAAAACAAAAAAATATTTACATTGAAATGTAATTTATCATATATTTGCATTCTGCCCCTTTAGTCTAATCTAATACCCCTAAGACTCAGGGAAAGACCTGGATCGTCACTGATGAGCTGCTTTCAGCCTTTATAACATACGTTGCTCTGATGTTTGATGGCTGCTAATGAGAAGCCAGAAAACAGGAACTGCCTGAGGAGATAGCAATAACTAGTTCAGCCTGTCTGCTTGATCTCTCCTATATATTGCTGCAGAAGTTGTCATATTTACAGCCCAGTAAAAAAAAGAAAAACAAATCCAGTTTGTGTCGTAAACTGAGAAAGGAACGGGATGTACACATAAAGTAGACTCAAGAGGCTTTAAGGTTATAGGACTTTATTTTAGTTCACTGAAGATTGACATCAATACCTCACAGAGTCCACATCAATACCTCACAGAGTCCAGATGAGGGTTTCTGTGACGTAGACTGAGGGTTTCATTACCTGAAATGTGAGTTTTGATATTGTGTGACATGTGACTGAGATGCAGAACAAATGGTTGGGTTATTTAAGTCCTTTGTTTGGTTGTGTTCAGACATTTAGAAGTAGAGGGATCTGTCATTCTTCCTGTATCAAAAGAAAGCAGTTACAAGTGTTAATGTGTGTTTTATTGTGTTTCTGTCAGCTTAACTTACCACTTTAGCAAGTGGTAAGTTATAAGACGAGGAGCAAACACTCAGCTCCTCCTGGTTTGTCTCCTCAGCTGGGTGGGCCAGTAAAAGACAGAGACATGTTCCAGATGCTGCGCAAATGGTTAGCGCTCAGATGAGCTGATGCCTGTTAACATGAAGTCATTACTTTTGATTGATCTTAGATCAGTTTTGTACAAAACACAGCTAATTGTTGTAATTGTACACGTGATCAGCAGATCAGAAATAAATCCACTTCCAACTTCATTTTATTGTCATGCCGTTCCACTAGCATGTAGCCACCACCAGTCCAAAGTTTCAAATATCTTTCAAACATTGGATTGTCAGACATTCAGTCTGCTATGATCTCATCAGGACTCATTTCCCTTGATGTGTGGAAATATTTTTCTGTCCTTGATCATTTGTACACCGGCTATGTTTATCACCAACTAGAGCAGCAGCGACCCAGTGAGCAAATTGCTTGTATCTGTGGTACCTGGTGGACATGTGTGTACTCAGTGTAATCTGTCATGAATCCAGTGCAGAAATAAATCAGAAAGCTGGTGCAAAACATGAGGGGGAAAAATGTAGCATATTGAACAGCTTTTTGAATTTCCTCAGTTTATGAAGAGCGCTTGCATTCTGCCCCTTTAGTCTTAATCTAATGCTCTGGTCTGACCTAGCCAACTTCTCAGAGTCCGAGGTTTCATTGACAGACTACCTCTGAGTTTTTCAGAATCAATGCTGGACACTCTCCAGGTCTGGAGGAAACTTTCAAGTATGATTAAGCTTAATCCCACAAAACGAAGCTGACATATTTTCTGCATTTAATCTTTAATTCTGCAATCATCCCTGATTATTATTTTTTTTTTCCCTCTCTTCCGTGTTTATTTCAGCTGGCAAGATCGCTGTGCGAAAGTTCAATCATCAGAAACCTAAGTAGACCGAAGGCACATCCTGCTCTCTAACACAATTAATCTCCATGTCCTTTGATACAGCTTCACTTACTGAGGTCGAACAAAAGGGTGCCGTCATTGTTGCAGAAAAGAAAAAAAAAATCCGAAAAAAAAAAAAAACAACAAAAGGGAATTTGGCATGTAAAAGAAATGGTTGAATTGATCAGAAAGACGGAAAAAGTTCATCACTGATCCATTCAGCAGCTGCTATAGATCAGCAGCTCTTGAAGTCTGTGCTGTGAATTGTTGGTTTTTTTCACCAGTTGGTGAGATGAACTTCCTGCCACTATGAAAACTGCAGAGGAACCAGCATTTCCTGCAACTTCATCACATTTATGATATTTACTGCTGACTAAGCTACTGGAGTATCTTTGAAGTGTAGATTAATGATCGGTGTGGAGTGTGCGTGCTTATGGATGTATAGTATGCTTGCAGATTGTAGATTAAATCAGAGGCTAAATATGGCCGAATCCTTTTACTTATATCGTGAAAACATGCTGTTGGTCAGCTGACATGCGCTGAGACGTTGAACGCCAAAGCAGGGCAGACGTTGCTTGCAACGGCTACTTTGCTATATTTTTATTGGGGATAGATTTCATTGATAAGGTTATGTAGGCCTTCAGCAAGTTTTTTTGGATGAAACATTCTGTTTCAATGACATTGAACCACAAAAAATATCATCACTCAGATATGTAGATGAAAACGGCCCCAAAGTTAAGATAGTTTAGAGCAAAAGTCATGAGAAACGATTTCTGCAACCATGAGATTAAGTAATGGTTGTTACGTGTTGGGTGTCCTAGAGTCCAACTTATTTATTATTAGTTTTTTTTATCCGCATTTCATTTTTTCTGTCAAGTCATATTTTCAATCTTTTTCAAGATGCTCCAAGTATTGTGAGTTGAAATGCTTGACTCTTCATGTTAAGCAGATATTTAGCAAGTATCTTCATTTATTTATTTTTAAAGCCTTGCTGCTTTGATTGTGAATCCATTTAAAATCGTCTCAAAAAACATTTTTGATGGGAGCTCCTGACCTTCGACTGTTTACTCTGTAGACTCTGTTAGCTTTCAGTATTTAACAGTAAAATGAAAATAAAATATTGTTGATGTCTTTTTCTAAAACATGGGTCGTTTTGTAATCCCATTTTCTCCTGCGTCTTTTGGTCTGTGTCTGTGTGACCTTTCAGTCGTGAACCAGGAAGGACAACCTCTGATCGAAGGGAAGCTGAAGGAGAAACAGGTCCGCTGGAAGTTTATCAAGCGCTGGAAGACCCGCTATTACACCTTGGCAGGGAACCAGCTCCTCTTCCGCCGGGGCAAATCTGTACGTATGGCAGTGAAAACGTAAAAACAAAAAAAGGATAAATATGTGTACACGCACATATTTCCTGTTTCTTGCATCTCTGTGTTGAAACAATCAGTGTTTCCCCATGTTCCGTGTCATTTGAATTATTATGAAACTGTGTAACAGTAAAAATCCCACCTCTTGAAAAGTTAAGTTGTCCCTCTGGAGCATGAGGTGAATCCAGCTGCAGCAAACTTTGGAAACTTCAGGGTGGAACATCCAGGGCATGAGTCAGTGACACCTAACTCAACTTCGATCAGATATCCTTATTCAGAAGTTGCAAACAGAGATGGAGATCTAGATTAATACACCACATTGTGCTTGAATGAGTGACTAATGCCCCATGAGGAATGGTGGTTATTAGAAAGGGCAGAGTGCAAATAAAACTGAGCTGTTTTCAATTTAAAAAGAAAAGAAACTACCATGCCTGGCCAGAAAGATCCACCAAAAAATGAAGACAGTTGATTGGCAGCAGTGGACTGATGGTTTGCTATAGAATGAAAACTGGTCTTATGAAATCTTTTTACTTGGCTTCTTAACAACATACGCATCCCAGTTTTCATTTTATGCAGTCCACATTCGGAGCCATTAGTGACCCAGGGGTGTCGCATGTTTGCAGTCAAAATACTCAAGTTTGGCTCAAAATCATGATTCAGCATCTGTAAAACATAAGCAGAAACAGGACCGATGTTTTTTCTCTCTCTCTCTCTACCTCCCACATTAAACAATAGTCTTTGTGCTGCTCCAGATGTTGATGGATTCTGTTTTGCAGCAGCAGCCGCACGTTGAGAGGATTGAATGCCTTTATTCTCGGAGCTCAGCTCTCCTCTGCCAGCGGGTTCTGGAGGTGGTTGGTTTGTTGTGAAATGATTTTTCCTCAAATGAAAAGGGAAGACCTTTCTTTGCCAATTACAGCAGAATTGTGAAATCTTCTAAACATCCATGCAAAAGGGAGCTACTACAAAAAGTGAAATTAGATGTTCAAAAGATTTTTCTTTAGTGTAAATGTCGATGTATTTTACTGGGATTTCATGCAGAAGCAAAGATGCATCGAATCTTTTTCTGACTCTGTCAAGTTAAAATTCAGAGTTGCTTCATATTCACCTCCAATCATCATCCTCAGCTTGAAACAGATTCTGTGCTCTAGATGGATGAAAGCATTTCCTCAGCATGGATGCCACCATCTCATCATGTCTCATCCTGCAGATGCTCTTTCCAGGTCAGAGTTAGTTTTCTGACATAATTTGGACACAGCTATGTTGATAATAAGCACCGCGGATGCCGCTATAGCATTAAATACTGGATCTCACTTAGGGGTATCTTATTAAATGGGGTTTGACTGCATAGGCACACCAGATCTTTTATATTTGCAAAATAAATGTAAAAAATTTAAAAAAAAACCTTGCAATTATTGCCATATTGTGTTGGTCTGACACTTTAAGATCCCAATAAAATACATTTTTGGCTGGACTGTGACAAAATACATATATTTAAAAAGTTAAATGGTTATAGAAATAAGTTTTCAAGACAAAATAGTAATTATTCAGTAGCTAATTGCTGGCTAAACAGAAAGAGCTACACATTTATGCAGAGTAATGTTGGCTGACTCTTTGCATAAAAATAAAAGTGCTGAATTGAATCCCTGGAGTTCAGTTGGACACATATCAGAGTTTTCCTCATGTTTGAAGACAGATACTATCAAACAACGTTTAATTTCTAATCAAAAAGATGTATTTATCCTTGCAGTGTAATGTGGAGCTCTGGTGAATATTACGTTCGCTCTCTAATTAGGACCAGACAGGAACTGGAGCCAAACCCCGGGCTAGCCTGAACCACGGTTTGGCAAGTCCTGCTGTTCGGGGACAGATGGAAATATCATATCATTGATATAAAATATCATAATTACTAAAAGGATCTTTATATTCCCTCATATGCAGAATGTGCCAAAAACACAACTGTCATCGGGAATATAAAGTTATACAGTTAGATATATAGATTTTTAGCCTTGTCATCTGGATCAGACAACCTTTTGGAATGTTTTTTGGGATGTTTTGTGGTAAAATATAACATTCATACTTTTGTTCAGTCTTTGTGAAACACATCTTTTTTGCAATATTTCTACGACTTGGATGTGATGAATGTCAGTTTCTGATGCTATAGGGAGCCATTAGTTTTTATTATTGACACAATATGACACCAGGTTGGAGAAGGTATTTTAATATAGTTCACACATTTTTTTGGTGGTTTTCAGATGAAAAGCTCCATGCATCCACCTTTGTACTCACCAATTTGTTGAAAAGTGCTGACAAGAAAAAAAAAAACACCATGGAGAAAAAAAACAGGAAATGTTTGACCGTTATAAACGGTCAGCAAGCCAAACAGAGGCCGTCATTGAATGAGTAAATAAATAATGCAAAAGGTTGTTTAGACCCTTACTGGGGCAGAAAAATGCCCCAGTACGGATGTGAAGTCCTGCGGTGGACTTTGCTTCATGCTGTGGTTGCAGCCACATAATTAACGATGGTGTAAGATACATGGTTCTGACTCCACTACACCACCCACATTTGGACTGATCAGTGGTGAGCAAGACATACTTCGCTTTTTCTGCCCTGGAGAAAACCATTCTTTGACATGGTTCATCCTGAGGTAGATTTCACTGGAAACAACGGTTGCAAACTGCATTGTGCTTCTTCATTCAAGGGTTTTCATTCGGCATTGTGATGCTAAAATCACACAGGTCACATCTTATTGAGTGGTAATCAACTCTTTGTCTTATTTACAGAAAGATGAGCTGGATGACATCCCCATAGAGCTGAGCAAAGTGCAGAGTGTCAAGGTGACTAACCCCAGGGCTTCCTTAATCCTCACTGCTCCAACTTTTGCTAACGTTTACCCTGATTGTGTCGGTGTACAGCAAGTTACAAAACATTCATCTAATTTCTATGATTTCTTTATTAACGTCTTAATGTGTTTAGGCGTGTTTATCTGCTGCAAAGGTAACCTCTGCTCCACCTCCAGCAAAAACCACACAGAGCTTTTAATTGTGTAAATATCTAAGAATAAAGAAAATGTTGTTTGCATTTGCATTATCTTCCAGAAGGTTTTCTTCCAAGATTGCTCCTATTTTACTCACAAATTTGCCGTCACATCAATTCTGTCCAGCTTTACAATTGATGCTGAAAACACTTGTCACAGACCGTTTCTATTTTCTGATGCTAAGACACATAGTTCTCTTGAGATCCCCTTAGCTTTAGACCTTTTACAGCCTAAACCTACTTTAAGCTTCGTCGTAGCTTTGGGAGCTACTTTATGTTGGTCTGTCATGAAACCCAACCAATTAACTTGAGGTTTGTGGTTGTAACTTGACAACCTGCAAAAATGTGTCAGCTAGCGATTTGTAGACCAAATTATTCCCAATAAAGGCTTTAATAGTGCAAGTAGGTGTGTTTTATCCTAAAATACTTTAAAACTACAAACAAATGTACATCAAGCCTAAATGATGTGAATTACAAAAGTGACAGCAGCTGCTTTGCTGAGCATAGACGTTTTCTTTTTCTTTTCTCTTTTCATTCCTGATCTTCCACCGTTTCCATAGGTGGTAGCTAAAAAGCGGCGGGATCGGGGTCTGCCGAGGGCCTTCGAGATCTTCACAGACAAGAAGACGTACGTGCTGAAAGCTGAGGATGAGAAACACGCCGAGGAGTGGCTGCAGTGCATCAACGTGGCCGTGGCTCAAGCCAGAGAGAGGGAGAACAGAGAGGCGACCACCTACCTGTGAGAACAGATCCAACACAGACGCCGACTTTGATGCCAATCATTAGTATTCATTTCAGTTGGAGCACGTTCTTCTTCCTTTTTTTGTGTGTGTGTGGTTTATGCATAACCAAATGGACAGAGAGGAAATAGAAACATTCACTGATAACTTGAGGAAGTGAAGAGCCAAGCTGGTTGGTGTGGAGTGGATCACCTAACCCACGTTTCTGTCCCTCCTTGGGCCTGCAGTGCCAGCTTTGATATGTAAACTCAGAGCAGGAAGGCTATTCTCTGCAGATATTATCAAATTATTTTCAACAAAGCCGAGTTATCTGTTCCACATGTGGACATCAATCCTGCTGATGATGGAGTATTGACTTAACCCAGATTTGTTATGCAGTATTTTTAGTATATAACGTAAGAAACCAGCAAAAACAGACAGTATGTATTGCTAACTTGAAGTATTGATCAGCTGTACCTACTGTTACCTGTGTTACAGAGTCATCAGTGGACCATGCGCAAAATACAAAATCTTTCAGTATCTATAAATGACCCAGATAAAACAACATAGAAATCCTCATTTTTGCTGTATTTTACTGTGAGATAAATAGTGGGTACTATGTAAAAATGATTCCTTTGAAGCTGATTTAGATTTTATTATTTTATACATCTTTTTATGTCGACACATCAAACTTACAAAGTACAACGACAAATCACAAAATCGGTGGAGTCAGCTAAAGACTTAAGCTAACTTTTGTTTTACCTTTGATATGCATTCCTTTTTCCAACGTGTCAAAGTATTTTGTGACCGATATTTTTATTAACCTTTGCGTGCCTAAATAGCATAAATAATTCTGTATCCCATATTTTCATTTTCATTTTATCTCCTACCTTTTTTCCGTTGAAGAGTTCTTGAAGTATTGTTTCTCATAAGAGAAGTGGCTGGAAATACAAATGGTCCAAGTTTCTCCTTTTTACAATCTTGTGTTGTTCTACTAGTTTTTTTTTTTTTTTTATCTTTCCGTCGGAGAAATGTTCTATTGAAATTTACTTCATATTTTACAAAGAACTCATTTAGCTCATAGGTTGCTCCACTGTAAAATCCAGAGAAAAAAAACATTAAGAAAACAATGAAGTTTCATTTCATGTCTGCTTTGATAACTGGGATTTTGAAGATTTTTTTTTTAATATGCTCAAAGTCTATAAGACACCAATAGACATTATCTCATAAATTCTTCTCTTACTTTGATTTGATCGGAATTCATAAAATAAAGAATTAATCTTTTGAAAATGAGTTATAACTATTGTTCACCTTTAATTACAGTTACAGATACACTATGGAGGGTAGACTGGGGCAAAATAAGTAAGGGTGGGATTTGAAACGAGGGGCACAAATTGGCAAAGGAGTGAACCGGCCCAGATCCATCTAAAACCAAATCAACAGCACCAAAACCAAATGTCTAACAAAATGTATCACCCTTTAATCTGTTTGTTGGCTTTCAGTTGAAAAGCCAGCAAACAATGAAATGAACATTGAAATGAACATTTCATTTTCATTTGAAATGTTCATTTTCTTGTTGGGTGATTTAACTACTAGACCCAGAACTTCCAGCTTTTCCCAGTTTTCCTTCTGACTTCTCCCATTTGCCTTTTTTTGTCTTTGCTGTGAGGTTCGAAGCACTCCCCTAATTTGCATCTCGTCTCACTGTAGCAGAGTGCTTAATAGTATCTTGATTAGCCATTGATTGTGAAAGAGAGGGGTCACATTGCAGAAAAACACACTAAAACCACTGAAGAGACAGTATTTTTCAGACTATCAGCCACTACTTTTTTTCCCATGTGTCTTAATATAGTCCGGTGCAGCTGTACGTTTCCAGTTTTTTTATTTTTCCAAAACATTTGTAGGTGCGGCTTACAGTGAGGGTGCGCTCCAGAGTGGACCTCAAAAAATGTAGAGTCGTTGCAAAGTCCACTATGTGATATAACTGCATTAAAGTTTAGCAGGATTTTGAATTCGTTCCTTTTTTTCCACTTTAGACAAGTGAAAAAATGTCTTCCAGAAGCGTCATTTCATGAGTTAACTCCGACACAGAACAAGAGACACTTCATAGTGGATGGGAGTTTGTAGCATGTCTAGACTTTTATTAGTTAAAAGCCCCAAAAGAAACCAGTGAACAAACATCACCGCAACAGCAGCATAACTGAGTTGTGCTTGTTTTGATTGTGCATCTGTGCAGGAAAACCTTAAAACCTAAAATATTATTTTGAGCAGAGGAATTAAGTCTTTTTTTTTCTTGTGCTAAAGATGGCTAAAACAGACATTACTGTAGCTGATCCTAAATCAGCTACAGTTTAAACGCCCATTCACACTAGTGAGTGGGAAAACAACGCTACCAAATCACCTTTCTTTAAATGTAACGACTACAGTATTCCCAGTTCAGGTATGCAGGACTGTCAGGTTTTGACATATTTTTGATGTGTCAACATTCTGTCTTGAAAATGCAAAATGTGAATCAAAATGTTAAAAAGGTCAAAAGGTCATGTCAGTGTAATATTGATATGCTTGAGATTGCTGTCCAGGTAAAATCTTAACAGCCTGTTCCACGTGTAGTTAATTCTCATGCTGGAGAATATTATGACGCTGCTTTCCATGGTATAAAGCTCAATGAGAAAACTGCTGTAGTTTAAACAAACACTGTGAAGATGATTCATGCAGGTTATCTGAATGTTTCAAATCATTTCCTTCAATCTTGAGAAATATGAATCATATATATATTTTTTTTCTTCCTTTTTGATGTTTGATTAAATTTGATTTTGATGAACGGTCAGTATTTATTGTGTGTTTTTAAGGCCTCAAACAACAAATGACAGATGAAATGTTGTCTCCTCCTCTGTCTTATTGTTCTTTTCCTGGTTTTATAACTATTAAATTCAAATGAATGCAAACAAATGAATGCTGTGCTGTATTGACAATAAAACAGTATTGTTTTTTTGGAAGTGATCCTTGTCTTGTTGCAGCCGCAGCACGCATTGCTTATTTCAAAAAGCAGTAAGTAAATAGATCTGTACAATCAGCAATCTAAAGGAATCAGTGCAGCCTCTGACGTCGGGCTTCTGATAAGCGTTTATTTTTGGTCACTTGAAATAAAAAGGGGGGAGAATATGATTACGTATTCTAATAAAATTAGAAATATAGAGATTTTTAAGAAATAACAAATGCTGAAGAAATATTTCAGAAGATGGGACGAAATCTAAAGCGAAATGACCAAATAGAGAATTGATTTACATTCAACATTATTTACATGGAGCACATCCTAGACCTGGTATTATTGAGAACAGAGTCGACTTGCTCAGGTTGGCCCCACACCAACTCAGATCGCACAGTGGAAAATGAGCAACGTGGGTCGTTCCGATTAAAACAAGCTCTCAAGCTACCTTAATGTTCCCATTCCAACTGGTTTGACGTAAAGGAAAAGCAAAGCAAAGACGGACCAAGTCAAGCGGATGACTCAGTGAGATGGACGCACATAATCAAACAACTGGCAGTGACTGATGGTTGTATGACGAAACGTTTTACAGCTGCTGACAATTTGGAAAAAAATTTGTCTAAAAAAAAACCCCCTCAAAAAAACAACCATCTCCTTCTTTTAGTGTTGCAATTAGTTATTTCCTAAATATTTCTACTGCAGCCAGATGCGCATTCTAGTCATTTCTGCCCGTAAACGTGACGTAGACAGTGAAACATGTCGCCCTTCACTTTAGCATATAGCTTGACCTTGAGAATAAGACCAATATTCCCAATCATAGATTATAACTTCAGTCACAAGACGACCAGACAGATACTTGACATCATGTCAGGTTCTAACATGATGTCAGTTTCAGGGAAGCTGAACACATTTCTTGGCTCCTTTTTTTTTTTTTTTTTTTTGCTGTGGATTTGAGACGCATGAATTTATGTTTGTTTTGTTCCTATTTCTGTTCCTTGACTGAGCATCTTTATGGCTGCAGTGACACATGAGTAATATGAGATACTGATCTCAACAGGCTTGATGATATGAAAAAGTTCTGTTACTGGAAACAAAAGTAATGTCCCAAAAACCTGCAGACGCTGCTGTGAGATTTCTGTATTACTAAAAAAACATCCATTTATTAACAATATTCTGTGCAGCTCAGTGGTTTTGCTTCCTTTCTCCACACAGTAAAAGATAAAATACAATATCTCATTAAATTGGAGGTAAAGTTCACTTATTTTGCCAAACTACCTTGAGAGGAGAGACTCATACTTATTGATTACACACAATGATATGTTTCAAGTTTTGATGATTAGAGCCATTGAAACCCAAAATCAGTCTCTAAAGGTTCAAATGTCACCAAAAATAAATAAATAAAAGGATTTAACTGAGGAGCGTTTAAGGCGGAACACAGTCAAGGGTTTGGTGGAATGTGCCTTTGGCTTGGCCTGCAGCTGGAGTTAGTGCTTTGGCAGCCACCACACACATATCCAGGAGGATGACTTTGCTTGAGGTCCAGTGATTTGGGTAGCAATAAAATCTGCTGATGTTGGTGCAGCGTGTTTTTACGACCAGGAAACTTGAGAACACGTCTTGTTTTTCTCTATCCACAAACATTATGGAGAAGTTTATTTAATTTTCGTCAGGATTCAGCATCTGCTCACTAATACGTGCTTTAATGATCACTGGTATCACTGGTGCAAGTGCTTGCTGCCCAGTCAGCCCACTCTATTGAGTCTTTTAAACCTGACTGAGAATCTATGGCGTATTGTCAAGAGGAGGATGAGAGACGAAACTTCCAGCGATGAAGACTTTGTTAAGGTCTCAGCAGAGCCACGGGCTTCTCATGTCCGTGCTCCGCAGCACTGATGCAGTAATTCGTGTAAAAGGAGCTCCACCAAGTACCAACTGCATATACTGACATCATTTTCAGGATGTTAAAATTTCTGTTTTGAAAATCCTTTTTTATTGATGTGATATAATTTTTAAGTTTTCTCTGACTGAATGTTTAGCTTTTATTAACCATACAAAAATATACCGCTTGCGAGCATTACTCTGTAATTGATCTAGTTTCACTTTTGAATTAAGGGAATCAATCGATTTCGACGTACCTGTCAACGTCTCCCAAGTCAACATTAATGTCAGGCTGACAGGTAAGTTACAGCTCATCGTAAATTTTCATTTTCTGTAGTCAGATTTCACTCTGTTGGAGATACTAGAATCATCTAATCTACTATACAGTACAGTTTTAATATAAGGAAACTACCGTAAATCACTTTTTCTTTTCCAAATTGATGCTGTTGACTCGTGCAAAGAACATAGCAATTCTGAAACTATATCGCCCTCTGGTGGACAAAAAAAGTATTTGAAAAAAAATATCTGATTAATTTAGGGTAACAAACTAAACACGACTTTAGTCATTTCAAAAAGCCAAAACTGTACTTAGAAGTCTGATTGTACAACACCAAAATCCATTTAAACTATGCAGGGACTTTTATATTTTAAAAAAATTGGCATTGCCAGTGTCAATTTATTCATAACTGTTCTTTATTAAGAAGCACCAACCCAACAAAAAGACCATATCAGTGGCATTCCTCATTTATTAATGAATAAAAATTGGACATGAAGACATGCACACTAAAAACCAGTGCAACAAACTGACAACCCTAAAATATATTTTAATTGTCTGCTTTTCCTGCTTGGAAAGAGCAAGAAAATGAAAGTCACCAATATCTTTTTTTTTTAGACAAACTTTTCCAATAAAAAAAAACATAAAAAAAAAATAAAAATAAAACTGCCCACTAGTCCTGCAATGTGCAAACTTATTGATCTTTTCTAAATAACATTTACTTTAACATTTACTCATTCAACCCCTCCACTGAACAGGTCGCTTCTATAAATCAAAGCGTTCACATTCTGTCAGTGGATATCAAAGCTTTACACTGTAAATAAATTTATTTTTTTCCAAAAATGTGTAACTTTACATATAAAACTAAAAACAAGATTAGGGCTAGGTAGTCGGGCAGGGGTGCACTCGTTGGTGAGACGAGAGGAAAACACAGGCAGATGAAGAGGCCGGAGGCTGAGGTCACGCTGCTGCCCTCATCTACATGGAGTCCCTTCCAGCAGGTCAACCAACAATCATCACTTCATGCTGGAGTTCACTGCTGCACTTTGGGCTTTCCATATGACGACAGGCTGACTTTGACAAAGAGTTGAGTACTCAGGATATCTGTTCATGCAGATGCTGCATTTAGGACCCAGACAGGTTAAGAACTTTTGGAATTCTTCTGGACCAGAAGAAACATCATCGATGTTTTCTTTATACCTTTGTTGAATTTAAATGAAAATAAAATGGGAAAAAAAATAAAATCTGAACGCAGAAACACGACTTATTTGTTGAAGGATGTAATATTTCAAAACTTCAAATTTGACATGTTCTCCCAGTCACGGTACATTTGTTTAATTGCATCATTTGGCGACAGTTTCCCTCCCACCGGAGAATTTTATGCAACAAACAGAAACCTTTCGATTATTGGGTTTACAATTTGCAAATATTCTATTTCCTGACATGGATATGAAATTAACATTACCATAATTAAGAGAATGTGTCCAACTCGTTTGATTTGTGTCAAACATTGGTGACCATCAGCCCCAGGGCTCGTCTCCATGTGTCTCTCAGCGCCGGTGGCGGCTGTGTCCTGAGTGTCCGCCGCTGCCATGGTGTTTGCTCTTGTGGCTGCGGTCCCTGTCCCTTTCGTAGGACCGAGACCTCTCCCTCCGGTCGCGATGTCCGCTTCCCCGCTCGTGTTTGTGTTTCTTTGAAGAGAAATCAAAAGAGCGGTCTCTCTCTCTGTCCCGTTCTCTCTCTCTGTCCCTGTCCGCTTTGACAGGAGTGCGGGATCGAGAACGGGTGCGCTTCCTCTTGTGACCAGAACCACCACCCCCGCTGTTGCTGTGACGCCCGCTGAGTTTGGAGTCGCTGTTGCTGTGGTGACTGGACTTCGACTTGAGATGAGGGAGGAGGGGTGAGGGCGGGTGTCGATGAGGCATCGGGCTGCGACTGTGAGAGCGTGAGCGTGACCGAGAGCTGTACGTCCCTGAGCGACTGCGTCTGCTGTTGTAACTGGAAGCACAAGAACATACCAGTTAAATCTTTAACTTGTAGATACAATAAACACAACTTGTATGTGTGGACATGAACAAGAATGGTGGTGAAAACCGAAATAAAACTTACTGTCTGCGATGAGAGGGAGATCTGGACCGCGATCGTGTTCTTGAACGGGAACGACTTCCGCTCCTACTGGTCCTGCCGATCTTCACCTCCTTCCTCAGCCTGCAGAGCAAATAGATTGAAAATGAAAATATAGCACTAAATGAAGTGAAAGTCATAGAAATATTGTGACCCTTGGTATGAACCTGTTAAGTTTCTTACCCATTATGTGGGCTCTTGTTGACCTGAGTGCGGCTGTCGGGCTCCTTCTTTACTGGTTTCATAGTCTGGGGGTTTGGGGATTTCTCCTCCACCTTCACCACGGGGGAGCAGGGCTTGGAGGCCGGAGAGAAGCCGCCTATGCCAGAGAGCGCCGGCGTGCCATCTGGGTTCAGGCCCTTCGCCTTCAGCTTGGCTTCTGCCAAGAACACCTTCCGTCTCTCCACCTCCTTCTCAAGCTGTTCATAATTAGGCTATAAAGGAAACAGTTCAAGTTACTAAAAGCCAAAATGTCAAATTGCAGCATTCTTCACATTATAGATTATAAAATGTTTATAGTGATTTTTTGGGCCCGCTTCCACAAAGGTCAGGATTCAGGGGATGGGAGAGAAAATGAAGGTGAAAAAACTAAAGGATAAATGGATGAATGAATAATGGGGATCGATGGACAGCATTCAGACAGTAAAAAACTGTCTAAATAAAAGAATCTTGTACAGGAACCCTGCAAGATTTTAGAGCAGTGATTTTTGCCATCTGAAGCCATGTCTCCTTAA